CCTCCACCACCACCAATGTGCAGCCCCACCTGGATGATGCAACGGCAGCCACAGTGCGCCAGAACGCTCACCACACATCAGCTATCATTGGTCAATTCATAGAGGGGTAATAATCAGGCCATGATTGGTAAGGACCAATGGGAAATTTGACCAGGACACCAGGGTTACACCCCCACACTTTTTGAGAAACGCTCTGGGATTTTTAATGACCACAGAGAGTCAGGACCTTGGTTTTATGTCTCATCCAAAGGACAGCACCTTTTTACAGTATAGTGTTCCAGTCACTATACTGGGGCATTAGGACCCACATGGACCGCAGGGTGAGCGCCCCCTCCTGCTCACCCCACTAACACCTCTTCCAGCAGCAACCTTAGTTTTTCCCAGGAGGTCTCCGATCCAGGTACTGACCAGGCTCACACCTGCTGAGCTTCAGTGGGCTGCCAGTTGTGAGTTTTAGGGTGATATGCCTGCTGGACCCAGTTTGGTCCACCCGAAGTGAGCAGCCAAGCAGCAGATTGGTGAGGGATGCCACTGTGAGGCAAACCACATCTTTAAAAGTTGCCAGTTGCGAGTTGTAGGGTGAATTGGCTGCTGGATATATAATATATTATTATAGCTTCTATGGTGCAACTGCTGCAGTGAGAATCAACTAGAGTATCATTCATATAACACAGGTCTAATAGAGACACAGGGCAGTAGAAAATGACAGCAAATGTTTTCCTTGCTGCCTTTCATAATATATGAAGACGTACCAAAGCGCTGACTCAATCCACGGGTCATTCGAGGCTCTGATGAGTAGAGAGAAAGTACGACAGAGGCATCATTGAGATGGTATCAATCTGGCGCATGACATTGCAGTACATCACTTACTGCAATTTGGAAATGTTCAGGAGTACTTTAGGTGTCTTCTGGCTGATGGAACCTATTAAAGGAAACGTTTGAGAAAACAGTTTGCATGCAGGTGCAGAAAAGGGTATTTCTCTGCAAAGACGATAATTTTTAAAAGTACTCTTTTTCCTTTGAAAAGAATCTCTCTATACCCATTATTTACCCCATTATGCTGTTAGTGTAAATTTTTAATGTGAAGTCCCTAGCTTCAGCAAAGCAGTTAATCTAAAAATATTAATATACATACAGTAAATGTCCTACAATCGAAATTCATCCCCACCCCTCCCATACGTATACAATTAATAAGAGGAAGGTTAAATGCAGCAATCTGTCACTGACCTGAGTGGCAGGCTGTTAACTTAAATCAGAAAGAAAATAGAACAGCATTATTTAATGCAATGGCCACTACAAACCCAGAATAAATAAGAGGCTGACATTATATTATTACAGTGGCACTAAAGAGCCGTGGAAAGTATATTAAATCATACCTGACTCTACTGAAATTGCATTATGTTCAGAACATTTACATTTTTGCTAAGCAAATCCATTGGCAGGACCAACAGTCTAAAGGCACACAAAACCATTGTAATATATTTTTTTATTCTCTCAATAAAGTTTTCTGTTTGTCTATAGCAAAGTGTATTTTAATAGTTTACCACAGTTGAACATGGATAAGAGCCATGGCATCATGTCACATTGTGTGTGGCACAGGGTACAAGGCATGACTCCAGTCTATTTAGGATGCCAGTCCATTGCGGGATGCTCATGAAACAATTTACAGTCAGTTAAGACAGCCATTGTGTCTTTAGAAGGCTGGAGGAAACCAGAGCACCCACTGAATACCCATGCAAACACAGAAGATGAATAGAATATGAAACTTCCACACAGAAGGAGCCAACTGTTGTGAGGCAAGACTACTATCCACCATGATACTGTGTCACCCTTTACAGGGTGCAGTTCAAGTCAAACCTTGTTCCAATTTTACATTAAAGTAATTTAGAAAGATAAAAAAAATAGATACTACTTTTCCTGCTTTTATATAATTTAATTTATTGTGGACAGGACAGGCTGTTTTTTCTTCAAGGATTTATACAGATTTATGAATATTTTTAGGGCAATGATTAAAATTTTACGGATGTACTATTAAATCAGAATTTATGACCAACAGTCTCCACTTTGTGCACTCCCAGTAAAAGTGATTGATATGCATATAGGTTCAGGAGAGAGTAATATTGACCGACCTTACACTCCAATAAATAAAAAAAGGAATTATTTGATTATCTCCAAGTCAGTAATGCGTGTTTAAAATGGCACATAAAAGAGCAGATCTATTCTGATGCTCACAAACAGCTTAGAAAATAGTATAATAATAGGACAATACCACAAAGGGTATTGTACTGGGTTATTTTCAGTACTGTTTCAGCTGGTTTCTTAAATGTTCTGCTTGTCTAAGGAAGTCCCAGATCTGCATTGCATTAATTTTACAGTTTTTAATAGCTGGCCTATCCTTAATATGGTATGGCTGCCCATGGATGTCCTCTGTGATGTGGTGTTGTTATTCTTTATAACAATTGTGAATCGATGAGACGTATGGCTCTGTGCTCTATGACAGAAGGGTATCATGTTGTTCCAGTATAGCAGAATGAATACCTGAGAGTCCCACCAGTGTCCCTTCATAGCCGGAAAAGCTCAACAAAATTTGGAGTAGTGCAAAATGGCTGAACAGCAGTTTTTTACCTGCAACAGAAAAATTGCAATTCAGTTTCTGTATTGCTACATGAAATAAGAAAAATAAAACAAACCAGCTTAATGTTACATTTGACTACCCTACTTGACTAAAAGGCTGTTTTCACATTAATGAAAAAGTCATTTTTATGAGTTACTTTTATACCCATTTCCTGGTGTCAGTGCCATCAGGCAGATCCTTGATATTGGAGATGTTTCACAGACTCTCCCCTCCAGGAAATTGACACTATATGATCTTCAAGACTACCTAGACTGTATCTGGTGTGTGCAGCATTTACAGTATGATTAAAATGGGAGTGCTGTCATTTCTCCAATATGAATCAGGTGTGCGAGATCAACACTGTTAATCTTGTTGATGATTCAATAGGACTTTGCTATTGTACAGTTCGGAAAACTGATCTAAAGTGAACACAGTATACCATTTTCTGAATATGCTTAAAGGGTTTTAGAAAGGTGAGACAAAGGTTGCAACAAAAGCTTGCTGTTTTAAAGTAAAAAAGGAGTCAACAAGGAGAAAGGTGTCCCGTCAACGTATGAGCATGAACTTGGAGATTCCATTAGATTAGAATTCATCTGAATAAACAAAAGCAGTGTCTGCAGAATACCCTGAGAAAGCATTTAACTAGGAGGGTCTGGATCCATGGATCACTTCTGTGCATATAAACATCATGAAAATGTTCTCAGCATTTAAATCCATAAACACATTTGTTAATCCTCCTGGATGAAATAATAGCTGTTTTACTTTCCTTTTATGCATGTACACTACTCTGTGTATAATGTGAGGATTGTCTTTCCCTTTCAGATAAGCTATCAGGATGGTAGCAGAGAAAGACAAGATCAATGAAGACAGACGAAAGCAATGGAGGACACAACACCAGAACCTGCCTTTGTCGACGTGGATAAGGGGTTGACATTAGCATGCATCGTCTTCCTCTGCCTGTTCCTGATCGCCATGATTATCCGCTGTGCCAAAGTCATCATGGACCCCTACAGTGCCATTCCCACCTCCACCTGGGAGGAGCAGCACCTGGATGATTAGTGGTAACAAGGCCAGGCTGTGTGGCATAGAGTAGCCAGTATTAAATCAGTCAGATCTGACGTTTTATTGAATCCAAAAGAAGTCGCAGTCATAATGTTGCTAAGAAAAGGTAAAAAAAATATAATTTCATCCACTGAAATCTGGGCAAAATTAATTCCAAGATAAGTACCATCATCCAGAAGCAGCTGACTGGGATTGTCTTTACGTCTTACAGTGTTACTTTCAGATACAATATGTTTTTGGGACACAGACGCCGGTACAGGAGTGAGAAAGCAACTACATCGCCGTTGCATTTTTGTAAAAAAATGTTGTACAAATTTATGCATTGAATTTCTCAGAGAACAAACAGAAGCTGACAGTACAATTGATTAAAAATGCATTACTTCCTGCATCTATGCTCAACATGTGCAAAAATATCAATTTTTGTATATTTTTTCTAATTATCATACCCCACAGTCAGTATGCCAAAGGGCCTCTGAGGAATAGAAATGAACAGGAGCCAAGAACTGTTTACCAGCAGATGAAATGTCATTTATGAATTTGTACAGTACGCATAGAGGTGTAAAAACCACATTCGTAGTGGTTGGTTTACACAGCTGTAGGAGTAGAATTTGATGCCTCTGTTTTAATTTTACCACCATGTAGCAGGAAGAAGATGCAATAGAACATGCTGTACCTACTCCTGGGATAGTTCTTTATTAATGCACTGGTTGAGTTTTCAACTTTCTTTTTTTGTGATGAATTAACTAAATTCACTACTTTGCTACTCAGGCTTGCATACTGCAATCATTTTGTTGTAATAATCCTGGTTTCTCCCAGAAGCATCTATCGATATAAACTTGCAGCTTTCTCTCAAGGCTATGTTCTGAAACGCATGTAGTCAAGTGCCTCAGCTACAAACACAAATAATTTTTCAGCCTTTAAAATGAATGAATGCACTGTTAGAAAACTCGAACTTATTATAAAATATATGTCTGGTTTGTGTAAAATAAACGAGAAAAACATTTAGCTAACTTATTGTTATACTCTTAATAAATAAAATAATAATAATTTGATAACTCATTTTTGCCTTCATTTATGCTAATAATAAAAAAACACATGTTTTATGAATGGTGTATGCATTGGCTCCTGCAGGGTAAGTCACATATTTATATTTACTAATGAATGCCCTGGGACAATAAATTATATGGCAATTCAAAATGTTCGCTAGATACGTAAAGACACACAACCCTTGGTTCCTGGGACCTAATTCTGGACTGAGGTACCTTCTTTATGGAGTCTGCATGTTCTCTCTGGGTTCATATTGATTTTTAATAGATGCTCATGCTTCTTAAATACTGGTTAATTCGCATCTCCAATGACAAATGTGTGGCATGTCTTGACTGGGGTCCAGCCCATGGTCCTACCTTGCCCTGTATGCTTCTGGGACAGGCTCCAGATTGTCCCATCTCTGGCCAGAAATGCATGCCTTTCTGATAATAAGAATATAACAAAGGCTACCAGGGAGAGGAGACCAGTCATCTCATTTGGCCCACTTGGTGGTCAGTAGCTAATTGTTCCCAGGATCCCATTCAGGTGTTTCTTGTGGGACTCATCATCAACTACACGGCTGAGTAGCTTGTTCCATACTCCCACAACCCTTTGAATACTGAAGTGCACCCTGTTCTCCATTTTTAATACACTTCCAATTACTTCTAAAATAATTTTAGATATATTAATTAGGTCACTTGAAAATCTCTGATCTTATTTGAGTTAACTTTCCTTAGGGAAGATTTAATTATCTCAGGGCCCCCCTTGCTGAATAACCCCTTTAAAACAAAATCAAATTTTAAAAATAGACTGCAATACTTTTGGGTCAATAAATGGCTCATTCAGTGCTTTGTCTCTCTTGACAGGCTGAAATTAAACTTGAAATAATCAATAAAAGGCAGATCAAAGACCTTACTATAAAAGGGTATTTCTGGGACCAGTCATCTTTCAAAATTAATCCACATGTTGTCTGAAGGAATTGCATATAGAAGACAAGGCAAAACAATTACATTTATATCAAGCCATGTCTTCTCTAACAGGAGACCGCTGCTCGCAGCTGTAGAGACAAACAGAACTCTTATTTTCTATTACTATTTCTATTATACTATTTCTTTCCTTCATGCCCCCCTCTGCCCAATATCGGGTTCAAACTGGATCAGCAGCACCAGACACTTCCACATTAAGCTGACTTTGATTATGGGGAGGAAACAAACACACTGATACTGACACAATCACTGGGCACTCCATGCAAACTCAATTAATCACATACTGTACTGTAGGCCTTTTCCCTTCTTCCTGTTGGTACTCAGTGATTGCACCTCTTGAGTGCCGCACAATTTGGATTTAGTTTTGAACAAAACTTTCAGTATCATATGTCCGTATGTGTGGTTTCCGTCTTCACAACTCTGAGGCCCATTGCCCAGGATTTAAATGAGCCACATGTTAAAATCAAACTGCCCAACTACAGTAGTTACTTTTTTAACATTCTTTCTTTCATAACGTTTTTATGTTTTCCTCAGTGAATATTATTGCTGTGTTCCAATAAGGTTGCAGTGCAAGTCAGACTGGCAGAGAGCTGTCAAATAAATTAAACTACAAATGATATATTTTGAGCCCAAAAAACACTTGTATGTGAAAAAAAAGTATGTCAAAAGTAAACTAAACAAAATTATTTTGGAATAGTAATAGACTACTCAAAGCTCGTTCTACAACTACGAGTGTCAATCTGTATAAACCGTCAGCATTTGCACACAGTAACACTGAGCTCCTTTCCTTTTTGATTTTATGTCCTGGTATTTGCCCTAGAGTTTGTATGCTTGGGTTTTTTCCAGGATCCACAACCTCTTTGGCTTTATATAGGTGGGAAGATATGATGCCTTCATCGTGAATTAATTTAATCAGTTTCTTCAGGAACAATCCTGTCTCTTCAGTGGTGCATTCAAAGCTTCACCAAAGGTTCTTTTATTCACTGTACCATGATGTATACAAAATCACCTCTGCCACTGCATTTAAATTCAGTTTCATGGGTTTCACCAGTGTGTTGGCTGTAGATTGTGGTTCAATTCCACAGATGTCTCTTTAATGGACACAACTCCCTTTACAATATTTTTTCAGATAAATCCAAAATCTGTTAACTCAAGTACATGATTCTCTCTCATTCTCTCCCTAGCGTTGTCGGCACGCCCGTCTCCATTTGGTGGTTTGAACCAAATCTTTGAGCTGGCGTTGCCATTAAATGCGACCAAGAAATACTCCAACCTGCGCGTCGCTCCGCCTGCCATCGGAGTGGGGGGGGGAGGGGGAGAACAAAGTGTAGCCAATTCATAGAGGGGGATTATTAGGAGGCATAGGAAATTTGGCCAGGCCGGGGTTACACCCCTACTCTTTTCAAGAAACACCCAGGGATTTTTAATGGCCATAGAGAGTCAGGACCTCGGTTTTACATCTCATCCAAAAGACAGCGCTTGTTTACAGTATAGTGTCCCCATCACTATACTGGGGCATTAGGACCCACATGGACCACAGGGTGAGCGCCCCCTGCTGGCCTCACTAACACCTCTTCCAGCAGCAACCGTAGTTTTTGCCAGGAGGTCTCCCATCCAGGTAATAATAATAATATAATAATAAACTTTATTTTATATAGCGCCTTTAAAGGTGGCTTCTCAAAGCCACCAGGATCTTCTCACTGACCACTGACCAGGATCACACCTGCTTATGTTCAGTGGGCTGCCAATTGTACGTTGCAGGGTGACACGGCTGCTGGCAAGTCAAGTACATGATTAAATGGATAAAGTGCCTCCCTCTAGTGGTTCCTTCACAGTATTTCACACTGTACTTTAAATCTGACTCCAAACATGGGGGATTAGCATTGTGGTAGAAGTCCTCCAAACAAGATGGATCAGTTAGGAAGGGGCCTCACTCATGAAGGCTTCTAATGGAATGGTCAATTTAGATTAACCAACCAACCTAAAACCATGTCTTGGTGGGAGAAAACTGGTGCACTCTTAGTAAACCCATTGAATACAGGGAAAAGACATTGCAATCGTCACAAAAAAGTTAGAATAGCCCTCTCTTGAGCCTGTTGACAACTCATCCAACCACTGTGCTTCTGTCTCTTTATTGACCTCTTTGGCCTCAATTACAGAAGAAAGGACTGTCTAACGACTGGGCTGGTAAGACAGAACACTGTGTTCACCTCTGTTATTTGTAAGGGAATTGATTTTGCTGAATTAAAACATGAAAATTAAATTTTATTATAAAGAAGGAACACTGCTAGTCTGAGTTCATGCACTGCAACCTTATGGAAAGAGAACTATAATATTTAAACTGAGGAAACTGAAAAAAAAACATACTGTATATAGGATTGGAAGGTGAAAGAGAGAATGTTAAAGAAAGTAACTTAGGCCTCCATAATACTAAAACAACATTTTTGCTGTTGCAACACTTTGCTGTACAAAACACACACTTAGGTTTCTTTCTTCCATGACTGTGAGAAAGGTTTTAAATGTCAGGAGATCACTTAGTCCATGTTGCTCAGTTACTAATTATTCCCAAAACCTTTTTACAGCCTTCATAAAATGTGTCATATCTAGTGCAGATATCCTGTCATATCCAAGCTCACTTTCTGCTTCTCTTTTTTAAATGATGTGGTATGTTACACTTCATGTGCCTTTTTACAGCAAGTCAGATTCCCCAGATGACAAGTCAGTAAGAGAAGATGTGAAATAAATGTACTTAGGTATAACTTAAACATTACTATGTTTAAGTTACTTCTTATCAGCATCTTAAACTAAACAATAGCTGCCTAACCAGGAATAAACAATTCTTTGTTGTATTATTTAATGTGAAGAAAGTCGTTTTCTTACTTTCATGCATTTTTATTGGTGCTGAAAAATACAGGGTTAGTCAAAATCTTGTCGACAAGTATACACGCCAATTATTTTACTTTAGTTTTGTTTTCTCCTCCACAGATGGCGAAGGATTGTAAGATAACTGTTAGAAACTTTGACAGTTTAATACTTAGCAATTACATGGGTTACTGTGACAAAAAGGGTTTCAAACGAAAGCATAAATATCAAAGTTGTCGACAGCATTTTGACTAACCCTGTATTTGAATGGTTTGTAAATTATTCTTAAAGAAAGCAGTAGCATTGCATGGTGCTGCACAGCAATTCATTTTTAAGACATTTGGACTGAATTCTCCTTATATTTTGAAGTCATTGTCATGAGCAAATGATTTCTGTGGTTAGAAGTGCTCTGTGCTGAATCAGCTCTATGAAGATTTAGCTCTGAAGGAAATGCGGCTGCGTTCCATGAGCTGAAACTGTCACTGCTTATATTTCCTGTGTAGGGAGTCTGAGAAATTGATTTCTGCTTCATTACTGTTGCAGAGGCTCATAAGTATTCTTCCACAGCAGTCCCATTGCCAATATGAAACAAAAAATCCTCACACTTAGGTCCATACACCAATGACAGTTATGCCTTCAGCTCATATGTTTTCTAAATTGCAACCTTAAATCTGCACAAATGTATTTAACCAGTGTACTTATGCTCCCTCTTACAGTTACAGGACTAAGACTAATCAGAATGTGAAAATCACAAGACATGATCAAAGCTTCTAAATGCTTTTCTGAATGCCATTAAACCCTTAAACTCCCTTCTGGCTGGAACGTACCACAGTAACACACTTACAGGTGCTTGGGATGTAACAGGAATAATCACCTTTTACACCACATTCTTTGCACATACAGTATACAGTAAATCTCTTCCTTTAACCTCTTCTGTATTTGTTTGGAGTCTGAATTATTTTTTTTTGCATCACTTTAATGAGATTTTAATGAACATGAGGAGCGGGGAGCTGTTCTTTAATTTTCATTCTATCTCCTATTGAAATTAATTGTGATCAATTATTCCTAATTAACTGGTATTTTAGAACTGCTAACGCATCAACATTTTTGCACCACTGAGCAGAGACTTGTATTGTTATTTCACATTCTAATGATCCACCATACAGCATTGATTATTCCTATTTCAACATACTGCCACACGGGAGGTTCTAGCAGGTTTAATATTGCATTCTGTACAGTATATACAACTGCAGGAAAAAGGACATTAGCTTTTACTGAAATCCCACTAAAGCATTAATCAGGAAACCAGAGAGCAGACTAAGAAATAAATGTAGTGTAACTAAATATATCAGCAACATCAACAATGATTTAATTTTAAAAAATCATTTTACAAAAAAATTTCCAGTATCATCCAAAAGCTACACTTTCAATTTAAAGTTCCCAATGCTCCCAGACTGACCTCGACAGGCTCTAACCCTAAACCTAACTCAATATAATACATTACGAATGTGAAATGCAATACATTGTGTTTTAGATGGAAATGTCTTTTTTAAATCTTTCTCCCTCAACTGACTTGAATTGTTGTCCAATAATTACATAGTGCTGTAGCCTGTCACCTTCAAGTGACTTTATGGTGTGTGGCCTCCGCCAGCTGTGAAAGAACAATCATTAACCGAGAAGCAGAAAAAAACAAAAGCCAGTGAAGAATGAAATCAACACAGAGCACCTTGCAGGATTCACTCCCTTCCAGTGATGTTTTGCGCAGGGGAGTAGAGGACAGTGCCATCACCACGCTGCAACTGGCTCGTACAACCTGTACGTCGGTCGTTCGTTACACTATAAAGAAATAAGCAAAAATGAATTTCTTTTAGCAGCAATTACAGCTGTGCATCTTTTAGGTTAAATCTGAAACCATTCTTTTTGCAAACTTCCAAACTCTGTCAAGTTGACTGGACAACAATTTTAAGTCTGTCCACAGATTTTCAATTGGATTTACTAGTTTGCTCAAGAACTTTCACTTTCTTATTCTGAAACTAATCCAGTCTAGTTGTGGCTTGTTTTTTAGATTATTGAGCTATTGCAAAATAAGTTTTCATCCCAATTTTTTTTATCTTCAGCAGACTGAAGCAGGTTTTCCTTTGTTTGTACGGTACTTTCCCCTCAGCCTTAATAGGCTTCACAAGCCCCCCAGATCACAAGCCCAATAACATAATGCTGCTGCAAAGATGCTAGACAGTATGGATGGTGTTATTTGGGTGATGCACTATGTTGGGCTTCCACTAGACAGACCACTATGCATTTAGACCTAAAAGTTCCAACTTTGCCTTGCCTGTGGCATCCCTCACCAATTTGCTGCTTGGCTGCTCATTTCAGGTGGACCAAACTGGGTCTAGCAGGCATATTACCCTACAACTCACAACTGGCAACCCACTGAAGCTCAGCAGGTATGAGCCTTGTCAGTACCTGGATGTGAGACCTCTTAGGAAAAACTAAGGTTGCTGCTGGAAGAGGAGTTGGGAGGGCCAGTAGGAGGCGTTCACTCTGTAGTCTATGCAGGTCCTACTAACCAAGTATAGTGACAGGGACACTATACTCTGAAAAGGTGCTGTCCTTTGATGAACATGGTCCTGACTCTCTGTGGTCATTAAAAATCCCAGGGCGTTTCTCGAAAAGAGTAGGGCTGTAACCCTGGTCTCCTGGCCTAATTTCCTATTGGCCTTTACCAATCATGGTCTCCTAATAATCCCCATCTATGAATTGGCTTCATTACTCTGTCCTCCTCTTCACTAACAGCTGATGTGTGGTGAGCGTTCTGGTGCACTATGGCTGCTGTGGCATCATCCAGGTGGATTGTGGATGATATTTTATTATATTATTATCATAAGGTGGTGTCTGTGTGCCAAGAAACACCTTCCACTTCTTTATGATTGACCTCAATGTGCTCAAAGGAATATTCAGTGCTTTTGATTTTTTTATTTCCCCTCTCCTGATCTGTACCTTAATACAACCTTGTCCCTAAGTTGTTTTGAAAGCTCCTTGGTCTCCACGGTTGAGTCTTTGCTTGAGGTTCACTAACTTGACTGAGGGGCCTTACAGAGACAGATGTATTTCTTCTGAAATCATGTGAACAACTAATATTGCATCTGCAGACCCAGGCCATTCAACCAATTGTGTGACTTTTGTTCACCTAAACTAATTTAGATTTACTAAAAAAAGTGAGGTTATTAAACATATTTTAAGTTTTTGATTTTTCATTGCAGGTTTTCCTATTAATCTACTTTCAACCATTAATGTGTATGAGCAATCAGGTTCTGATTAAAAGTATTTAATTTGTAATTAAAGACATAATTTGTAAATCGACATAATCAAACATAATTTGAATAGGGTGAATACTTCTGCAAGGCGCTGTCAATTTAAATAGTATTAACCAGTCTTACTATTTTAATCACTGACAACAATTCAGAGAAGCATAAAACATTTCTGGAAGCATAAAATAACAGGAAGAAAATTAACAACAAAGAGAAAGAACAAAAACAGCATTTCTGTACTTTTATTTGTAAGGCACTAAGTGAGCACATTTTCTCCACTATTCTCAGTTTCATTTCACATCTGCCGGGCTGGAAGAACCTTTCCTTTGCAGACTCCAAATCCCACCCTGTATCCTTCACCCTGGCAGTAGCCTGTAACAGAGAAAAGTGCAATGTTAAATTGTAAAGTGTTTCAAACATGCCCCATAATATCTGTAAAGATAAAAGACAATACTACTATTCACCCCTTTCAACGATGTCCCATTTTGTTGAATTCCAAAAGTTTGTACACATTTTAAATGTAAATGCATTTACATCATTTGTAATCTGTCAAAATGGGACATTATTGGAAGGAATACATAGGTTTTATGACACTGGAAAACATTATTGCTAAAATAAAGTGAATATTTAAATAGTGAAGACAAAAAATAAACACTTAAATGTTTTTTTTTTATGATCTCATCTGATTAGTATAACAAAGAAATTCACAGTTGTCTCAGGAGCTATTCCTTCTACTTATTGAAGTAATATCAGCTGTCATTATGCGTCTTCCCCTACAAAGGATCCTGAATTTGGTACACTGATGTATCTGTGTGGTGCTTTGCTAGCTCAGTGAGCACTACAGACACCACATGTCTCTGATAGCCCACGTCAGACCCACATATCGCTTCTGATTGTAACAGATGGACAATGGGTTGGTATTTCTTTAAAATGCACAAACATTCTGCTACTTGCTTGCGCAGATGCTTTGAACTGCTAGATCATGGCTTCTCTTAAAAAGAGGCTTTGCACAACTACAACAGGCCCAGGGATCTACTTTAATAGATCCACATAGCAAAAAAAAAACAAAAATGTGACCTCATTTTAAAAATTGGGTTAGGCAATTTTTCAGTATTTTTAATGGTAGAATAACATACAGTAGGAACAAGTAAAGGTTTATTCCATGCTGAAAAGAATAGAAAAGAGACACAACTTTTGTTCTTCAGGTGTTAAGGCTCTACATGCTTCCTTTCAGCATGGAATACACCTTTACTTGTTTCTTTGCAGGCTATGAATGCTAAAGCAGCTACCTTCTTGAACTTAATATACAGTAGGCCTGGAAGTGAACTGAGTTGAAAAGCCTGTTCATTCTGAAAGACTGTTCACATAGATGCTGTGTCTGGCAAGGTAGCAGGGTAAAGAGGGTCCACTTGCTGATGAGACAAACCTGTGAGAAAAACTTCATCTCCATCTTGCAGAAACGTACGAGTCTCCCCATTCCCAAGACTAATCTCTTTCGTTCCCTTCCATGACAACTCTAACATTGAGCCAAAACTTTCAGGCTCCTGGTAAAGAAACAACAACATGTTTAGTGATATATTGAGAACACTAAAAAATTAACTGCTTCATCACCTTCACCAATCACACTTTCATGACATCCAACTCAGAAACCTCTTAAACCCTCTTGAAAATAATTTATTATCACGGTAGGGCTTGGCTACTAATCTCTATGAGCTTTAAGAGAGGGACATCTCAGGACTTTAATGGCACACAATGAATGGGATGAGATTACTGATCGTCATGTTCCTCCTATATCAAACGTCTTGCAGAATCCAAAGCATAAAGAAAATATAAGAAGAGGGACAAACAATTACACACTGTAAGCTTACATATAAAATCACAAACACTAGCAGAAAAAGACGGAGAAGGAGGAGCTTTACCATGCTGTTGAATAAGTGCAACGTCTTCAGATACTCACTGGCCCACTGATAGTCCCTGACGCCAGCAGATCACCTGGCCGCAGGTTGCAGCCATTCACAGTGTGGTGGCAGAGTTGTTGTATCATTGTCCAGTACATGTACTGAAGAGAGACAAGAGACGCCAACAGGAGAGTCTCATCAGTCAATGTCACTTTAAAATGAACTCCTTAATCTCTGCAATCTTCTTTTAGAGATGTGTTTTGCTTCTCTGCACTTGCCCTTGAAGTGGATACCAGATCTTCTAGATAAGCACAACCTTTAAGTGGAGAAATCAGATCAATGCGTCCCATGATTTAGAATAAGGTCCCACTGTAACACTGTCTTACTCCTGTGAATATTGACATGAATCCAAATGATGCTTTGTTTTTCTGTTTTATCTCTTCAAGATTTAGTATATGTACAGCACAAATGAAATAGGTTTTGTACATTATTTTATATAATTCTCACCTTAAAATTGGACTTGATTATTGGAGCAGCTTCTTCCATTGCTTCTCCTAGTGAGTAAATTACATATTTATCTTTTAGTGACTTTTAGGGTGATTTTTAATAAAGTAAAATAAAGTATCTCTCTTTTCTAAAATTATTGTTACCAAACCTGTCTGTTATTCCTTTTATACTAAACAGAAAGACACTGGAAGCACACTTTGCACAATAACATTCTATTACAATGTAAGCACAACAAATTGAGAGCTTTAAACACAACACCTGCTATGACACAGATGTTTCTACTGTGATTTAAATATTTTTTATCGTTGTTTGAAAACTATTAATGTCCCCTTAGCTTCCTCAGTCCGTAATACATAATGTCAAGGTCCTTGATGCATGTTTGCAGAATATTGCACATATGGGTGTGTGAAACTAAAATATAATGACCCACACTTATAACACTTTAATTGCCCTGTATAGTATATATTTGATAGGGTTGGTTTCAGTTGGCTCAAACGGTTCTTCTCTGCACTTGATTAGCAAGTCTAGATTTCTAGTACCTTTCACAGAGACAAAGAGATGAATGTCAAAAGTGTAGGGATCCTCATGGCACAGATAGGGCAGTGGCTTTGGGTCCTGAAACAGAGAACACAACAGCTGAAGGACAGCTGGGGATATCAGTGCAGACATCCACAGAAACCACCAGCACTCTGGGTTTTAAAGACAGCATGACTCTCATGAGAAACATCACGTCATCATAACAGGATATTACTGTCACAGTTAATTTCTGAAAGCAACCGCAGAAGCTTCATAAAAAGTAAACATGCAGTTTTGATAAGATTCTTGGGTTTATCCTGTGACCAGTGGACTTTTTGCTTAATTCCATTAATTCCATCACAAGCAATGGATATTTTCAATTACTTTTTAGTTCTGTAAAAAGTCATAAGTATGTACGAATACTGCTTCTGATATCATATCTTTTATCCTTGTTTGCAAGATGGATGATTTTTTTTAAATATGACAAAACAGAATATGTTTTATTCATCGAATGAGGTTAGTTTTATCAACTATAAGGATTTGTTGAGGGCTAGGAGAAGCTCAAATATGTCTTAAAGATATTAAGCCATAAAATCTTAAGGAGGTGTACTTTTTCACCACACTGCAGAACTGGATACTTTTCACCCTGTGCCCCTTAGTGTGTTTGCATTACTGTGTCCAGATTAAATCCATACTTTAACACATCTGCCAATTGCAAATCCCAAACCCTCTGGAAGTCAAGAAGATGGGAAACCCTCTGATAAACAGAAACCCACGATCAGGTATTAATTTCTAACCTGTAATTGACAGATTAGCTGATGGTTCAAATTCAGACCTAAGTCAGTTAAATATCAAAACCATTCTGTGCAACAGATCTGCATAGAAGGTACTTTATTTTTTTACTTAAGGTAATGAAATACATGCATGATATGGCAGAAATCTGCATGTGTATATACTGTACAAGTTTAACCAGCATGCAGGCTACAAAGGAACTAGTAAAGATTAATTCCATAGTGAAAAGTGTCGAATGTGCAGTACAGGTGTCCTGAATAAATATGTTTACTAGCTGTTTTTGTTAAGGTTTTCATTGAAATGTAACACTAGTCCTATTTCACCTGAACTGGATTCGGCAGAATGAAGGGCAGCAGAGCATCCATTGGGACAACCCAGGGCGAGATGGATGTTCCAAAGCTCTTTCCCAGGAAAGGTCCAAGGGGGACATATTCCCATGCCTGGATATCCCGAGCTGAAACACAGCACATTCCACACTGCATGCTACTACAACTTTTTGCTGAAGTTTCATTAGTGAAACAATAGTGCTTGACCCGTAAAAATATTTCATGGCATGAAATATTTTCATGACCAGAGCATTCAGACCATCATCTGAATCCTACACAATGGCTAACGAAATTGGAAGATGACAATATTTCCCTGAAGCAACTGTTTAATTCCTATTTATATTTAAAAACACAAACACTCCAAGCAAGAGAGATGAATTTCTTTTTTTATCCAAGTCCCATTTCTGATGAACAAGTTGGTTTTATCTTTGTCTTGAAACACAGACAACCGTATTTCTCCATGAAGTGTTTTACTGAAATGGGACAGTGATCGTTCCAACATTATGATATTTTCTTTCCAACTGAGTAAAATGAAATTGTTTTTTCAAACTGAAAAAAAAGAACAGAAAGGGTTCCCACCAGGCATCCAGTTTGTACAGGATTGTAATGCAATGTGTACTGACAGCTGGCTGTTCCTGCCTGAACTGACAAATGTATATTAAAAGAAGATGTCCATTCTTTTCATAGGAGAGGAAATTTCTAAAGAAAATGCAATTGCAAATCTGAATTAAAATAACATTAAAAGGAGCCTCCATTTTCTAACTGCTTTATCCAATATGGGATCAAGGGGGAGCCAGAGCCTATCCTGTAGTGCAGGACAGGACAGATCCATCGTAGTGCAGACGCAGACGCAGACGCAGACGCAGACACAGACACAGAAATACACTCACGCTCACACCAGGGCCAATTTTCCCAGAAGTCAATTAACCTACCAGTATGTCTTTGGAAACCAGACACCTCGACGAAAACCACACTAACACAGGGAGAACATATAAACTCCTCGCAGACAGCACCCCAGGAATTGAACCCAGTGCAGCAGCTGGGAGGCAGCAATGATAATCACTGCTCCACCATGCTGCTGAAAGAAACAGTGGTGTTCTGTAATAAAACCCAATAAGAAAAAGGCCACAATGTCTCCCTCTATTTACACCAATTTCCTTTTCAGAGATTAAACTCATACAAAAATACCTCTTGCTCCGACTACCCTCTCAGGATTCTGGCTAGTAAAGCCATCTTGAAGTAGTTAGTTGTTATTTTTACATTTGAGTTGATTTTATGGGTCCAGAATTATGTTTTCTTGAACATAAAAGATGTCAAGCTTCCAAAATGAAGGCTATTTGAGAACATTTAAACATCCATATTGTTATTTGGAAATAGTGGTTGTTGTATCTAACAGGGATGCATGATAGGTGGGATGAAAAATGAGATAAACAGCCTTGTGCAGAAATTAACATAATAATAGAGCCTTAGCCAAACAAGATAAAATGCTGCTGTACTCAGCCTCTGCTGAACTGGAGAAAAAACACATAAAAAAAATTTAGTGCTGATAAAACCTACAGAAAAAAATAATACTCAAAATAAAATAGTAACTCATATAAATGACAGAGGTTCTTACAAAATAAATGAACCCCGTCTCCAGTAATTGAATGTTTGCATTAAGCCAGAATATAAAAATAAAATAAATATATACATAAAAATAGAACAATTTGATACTGGGTTGTATTTATTTATGACATTTTTGTTGTGAAATATACACTATAACACATATAAGTAATACTTTCAAAAAGGAAAATATAACCAAAGGGTTTATAAAGTGAAAAGACACTGGAAATATAGTCTGTCTGATATACGATATCAAGGGTATAATAGTCTGGCAAGCAGGGAATTTAGAAATAACACTTACATTACATTCCACATGCTCATTACTGGCTATCTGTACTGATGTTATATTTAAATTTCCTCCTTCTGTGTTTCAAATATACTTAATTTTTATAAAATATGCTGCTTTCAGGTTGCAGAATGCCTTACCACTCCAGTCGTTCATAAGGACCATCCCAAATATGTGTTCATGGGCTTTGTCAATGGGGATTGACTCTCCTAGCTTGTTACCTGGGCCTACGAAAAAGGCCTTAAAGAAAACAGAGTTGAGAATTAACTAGAGAAGAACTGAAAGCACATTTGAAGGCTACTTCCATCCTACTAAGACTGCAGTGAAATGGCCAAATCTGTATGGTACAGTATCAGTTTGTGTTAAAAGACACAGTTTGCTGTGCAGGGTATGCCCTGGTGTTGACATACTGTAGACAGTATTGCTGCCATGAACTGTATAATGCTGAAATCTGAGTGGTGATGAAACCTGCCTAGCTTAAATTCAATCAGATCATTTGGATACGAAGACAGAAGCAGTTTTAATATTCAGAAGAGAATGTTAGTTATATGAAACCTATACCACAATATATAAATGATATATTTTAATTAAAACTTTTTAAAAATGTTAATACAGACTTTAACAAATAATCTTTTTTCTCCATTTCTCTTAAGGCTCATGTCTTCATAATAAAATGCATGTTCTTCTTTGCTTTAATTTTTTAATTCTAGAACTGGACTCCCTCCTGCCTAGAATTATATGATAAATTCCATCTTATAAATACAAAATGCATATGGAAAGAATAGTAACCATGCCACTCTACACTGCAAAACACCAGCAATGTAGGCTAGATTGCCTACCCCGTCTAAGAAAGGTTGGCATTGTCAAATTTCTACTTTCTTTCTATGTCTTTGTTCTGCAATCTTTAGTATAACCCTGACATTCCTATATCTTAGAATGCACTTGATGAAGTCTGGCCTTGGCATTTATAACACATAACATACTGTATACATTCCGAGATCTAATATAGAGATCTGTGGTACCTATTAGCTAATGTAGTATTATGGCTCCATAATTGCACAGTTAATGAAGACTTGGTGTTCAACAGAAAGACTTACAAAATCCCAGAAGACACGACATACCCATTCCCCAAATACAAGCTTTTTAAAGGGGAATCCTCTTTCTCTTTTGCACACTGGAGAGATAAAGGAATTCACATTCTTAAAGATTTTTTTAATGAAGATGATCTTTGCTCATTCAAGGTCTAGAAAATGCAATACTAGCTTCCCGACTCCTCTTTCTTTTTCTACTTGTGTCTGCATTCTGCAATATGTGCCTATGGTGCCACCTAGGGGTGACACCACTGTGCATTTTGCTTGACCTCATTGGAATAACGAGAATTGGCAGTTTCCTATGAACCCTTAGGAGTGGTTGTTATATGGTCCCATGTCCTAGGACAATGTTGAGAACGACAATGTTGACAATGTTAATTCAATAGAACTCTCAGCTGGTAGACTCCATGCTCTTGGAGGCCTGGAGTGCTGTTGCTGAGACAAAGTCTGGGTGTGTGGGGGCTCCATTGTAACTGTTTGTATGTTGGGGTTCACCGCACCCCCTTAGAGAGGCATAATATTGAGGAGGATTAGGGCTGTTGGGTCTGGGGTTCTGTGTAACATGGGAGAAATCTTAAAAATAATACATTTTGGTCACTTAAATGAGTCAGGTCTAGCTGTTCATGATGCCTACCAAGTTCTGTTTCAATTCTGTCAGTGGAACGTTACCGATTGGGTTTTGGTCCTTGTAGCTATCTTTGTAGAAGCAGGAATGACAGTGCATCACATATTAATAGTGTGGAATAATTCCATCAATCAATTTTCTAACCGTTAATGGGGAACAGCAATGCTTATATTTTAGGGTTAGAAAGAATCAGCATTTATAAGTGCATTTTAAACTACATTGAAAGTAAAATGTACACAGCAATCTGTAATGTGCAGCACCATATTCTGTAATTCAGAATAACAACTTCCAGTGAGGTGAAGGAGCCCTATTACACTATACACACGCAGGCTAGTGAATACATCACTTTTAATCTGAAATATTGCTCTTGACTTCAAGACGGTTTTGCTGATAAATGGAACTTGTTGAATCTGCATGAAGACCCAATCTGCCAATATGATTGCCTTGGATTTTTTCTGTACAGGAAAAGTGTACAGGAAGCCGCCTAGCACTACAACTCTGGAACTCATTTCCTGCCAATCTGAGAAGTGTGTCTGAAGACTAAAAACGTCTGTGTTTAGTCAGGCTTTTAATTAGTATGTGCCTTTTCTCTTTATTCCATGTTTATTATTTTTATCTTTGTTTCTGTTTGCTGTTCTGTTTTACCCTGTAAAGTGCCCCAAACATTGTTGGTGTACATCTACCCTGAAATAAATCTTTGTATCCTTGTACAGAAGATATGAAACACTTGGAGTAGCACACTTATTTTGTTCAGCATCCTTGTGTTTTTTCATATCAGAACATATCAGAATATGCTGACAAATATCACTCCAACTGCCTTGAGCTAATGAACAGTGCCCTCCATATGTCTGACATATTATTTGATTTGTCAGCACCTGAAGCATCTTTCTTTAAAATCTTGAATTGTTTTCCAAGGTCTTCATTGAAAGGGCATGCACGCTCGTATGTTTGAAAATATCTGCAGTGCTGATGACAAGGTTTTCAATGTCTCTGTGTAGCACAGTAAGCATGTGGTATTTAGTGCACTCATCTTTCCAGGATATAAAATAAATCCAGTGTTTATTTTGAGAACAAATAAATGTAATTTCTAAATAGCATTACATAACATAGCTTCTACTAACCCATCTACATCATATATGTTTTAATTTGGATCCTTAGCCACTTGTCAAAATCAAGTTATGTTTAATTGTGAATTGCAATTTGCCAGTTTTAACTGGCCAATTGCATTAGTTGCAATTTTAATTGCAATATTTCAGTTTTGACAGCTATGGTTTGGCTTAAATATAAGACTGTCCTGCTAAAAACAGGATGTACAGTCACATTACTTTCACAGGAACCTCATTTTCACACATTTTCATCCGGTTTGTATTACATTTATATAAATATACAGTTACTTGGCCAAACAGTTTTTGAGCAGGAGCAGTTTGCTGATGGACCATGTAACCAAAAACACGTTTTGACCCGTTGCTGGCTTAGAAATTGTAGAAAGTTTTCAGAGACAAACATTTCAATTCAATTGGTGCAAAGCTCCATAAGTAAGATTTTTTAATGGTTTTAAAATATGCCCTTTGATTAACAAAGGACATAAATGTTTGTCTCATATTTAATGGCTTATCTGAGCTTCCTCACAATCATTATCTGCCTGCATTACGTGAAAGTCTAACAATGTTGTGGACACAATCCAGTTAAGAAATAGAAACAGCGTTTAAATTCCCCCAGTGTTAGTGTATATTGTATGATGTATTTTTTGTACTATTGTGTAACAGTCAAATTGCACTATGTGTATATCCTGTGTACACTGCCTCTGTTCTGTTTTTTCTGTTTTGGTGTTCACTGTCTTGTCTGCTAGTATTATTATCAGTAATGTGCACTATGTGTATCCTGTCTACAATGCCTTTGTCAGTGTCTTGTCTATAATTGCACTGTGGACCGGGAGGAATGATATTTCGTTCCACTGTATACTTGTTTATCGCTGGAACTTGAACTTGAAAATCAAGCTACCAGCAAATTATTTTACTCCTCTGTCTGTGTTGACAAAGAAGGAAGTCTGCCCCTGAAAACAGAATGCACAGAAACATATTTTGACATATTTTTATAGAAGGCTCTTCAAAAAAATAAATGTTTATGAGGAGGAATCCACATTACAGGTTATATATTATACTATTTTACAATATTCAAGGTCAGAACCATGAATCAGGGAATCATAGACAACTGATTCAATACAAAGAAACTGGACCATAATGTTGAAAACTATCTAATAGGCAAGATGCAAGTAAATAATGAATCAGTAAGTCAGTTTCAGAGCTATTAGAAACAGGAACTTACCATTTCTAATTCAATATCAAGCTGTTTGGACTGACCAAACACAGGTGGTTTTGCTGCAGTTTGAAGGAAAAAAGAGAAAAGAATAGAATATTGGCAGGTTAGTATAAAAGTAGATACTTTGTAAAGAAATTCTAGTAAAAGGTGCCTTGTACTCATCCCCTTCCTATGGTGTCACATTTTTATTTAAAGCTTAAAGCTCAAACTCAAGACTTCTAAAAGTAAAATAAATTGCAGTAAATGTCAAAGAGAATTAAAAAGAAAAAAATATAAAAAAGTACATTGATTAAATAATTATTCACATTTGTTAACTCAGTATTTGGTGGAAGCATCTTTGGCAGCAATTACAGTCTTTTCGGATAAGTCTCTATCACCTTTGCTCACTGGCTTGGTACAATTGTTTCCCATTCATTTTTGAATCATTCTCCTAATCTGTGTTTGTCAATAATGTTACCCCTGATGTGCTTTGAAAGCTGCTTAATCCTTAAGGTTGACTTCAGGTCAGCTTTGAACACCATTATTTCAGAGAAACTAGTCAAGAAACTCAGTGCACTGGGTCTTGACACCACGTGCTGAAACTGGATTCTGGACCCCAGGCTGTCAGGCTTGGAAACCACACCTCTGGCACACTTACTCTGAACACTGGGGTCCCCCAGGTTTGTGTGCTTAGTTTAATGCTTTACTCCCTCTACACCCACGACTGTAAAACCACACATAACACCAACTCCATCATCACGTTTGTCGATGACACCACAGTTGTAGGTCTGATCACAGACAATGATGAGAGAGCCTACAGGGAAGTCAATCTCCTTACAACGTGGTGTGAAGACAACAACCTCACCCTCAACGTCAGCAAAACCAAGGAGCTGATTGTTGATTTCAGAAAACTGTAAAATGGTCATGCCCTTATCCACATCAACAGGACATGAAGTGGAAACGGTTAGTAACTTAAAATTATTTGGCGTCCATATCACCAAGGACCTCACATGGTCTCTCAACGCCACTTGTCTGATTAAGAAAGCGGAACTTCCTGTAGTTCCTAAGACGGTTGAAGAAGGCTCAGATATGTCCCCAGATCCTCACTTTTACAGATGCACTACAGAAAGCACACTGACAGGTTGCATCACAGTGTGGTATGGCAACTGCAGTATTGCTGACCGCAAAGCTATACAACGGGTGGTGAAAACTCTCAAGTCCATCACTGGAGTTGCTCTCCCGTCCATGCAGGACATTTATGACTGACGGTGCTTGAGGAACAACCCCACACACCCCAGCTACAGACTGTTTGACCCCCTACTATCTGGAAAATGGTACCGGAGCATTCTGGCCCGAACTATGGGACTCAAAGACAGTTTTACCTCCGCACTATGAAACTATTAAACTCCACTTTTTCTATTAAACTATTAAACCAGCTTCTCTCGCTTACAATCTGAACCATTACAGTGCCTTGTCTCTTTATCAAAACTCAAACGCACAGTGAAATCTACCTCCACCTCACATGTCAAACGTTCACTCTCCATAATTTTGTATCCTTTATTTCATTCTGTTGACGTATGATTATGCACAACTGTTGTTGTTTTGCACAATGCCTGTTGCCTCTGTCTTTCTTTTCTTACACAATTGTATTGTTGTTTATTTTGTACTACTTACTGTCTGAGAGCTACTAAATATTATTTCGTTATACCATATACCTGTGTATGAGTATAATGACAATAAACTTGAAACTTGAGTTTTTGCTTAAACCTTACAACCTGAACAAGGAACCTCACAGAGAAAGGTGTTTTTACTCTGAAATCATGAAATTCAACATTTTTGCACACAAACAGATATTGCAAACTCAACTAATAGTGTGGCTTGTTAAAGAAATTATGTTTATATTTGAATACTTATGCAATTACGACTTTTCTTTCATATTATCCATTTAATTTTATGTTTTTTGTTTGAATGTCAGGAGGAGGTTGTATACAGTATACTATATATCAAATACTCATTCCTTCTTCAAAGTGTTAGGCAGCCCTTAAGCAATTACATGTAAAATAGTGCAAGGGTCTGAACACGTGCAAGGCAATGTATCTTATTTTTATTACTGTTATACATATTACTTTTTGTTCAGATGTCACTGCTTACTTGGTACTGGTCTCATCTGGCCTATGGGCCTCCTGACAGGGGTGCCCGACACCACCACTGAAGAGGCTCTTCCATGGTAACCCACGGGCAGCATCAGCCTGCAGCCAATCAGAGCACACCTCAGGTCAGCTCCACTCACTTGCACAGGCCCTTACAAAACTAACTGTGGCATATTCCAGTAAGAGCTGGCAGAAGTGTAGCAAGGCGCAGTCAAATCATGGCAAAACACCGAAAATTGCAGAGGAGAGGCAAATCATGATGTGAACCATGGACAACAGAACACATGCACATTACCAACATGGAAAACTGCAAAATCAAACTGAAAACACAAATTTAATCATTAATTCTATTTGTTGACAAAGAATTAAAAACTGTTCCTCCCATGTCAGAGAAGAATACCAGAACTTTGCATTCTCAGACGGTCCCTTAAACCCTGGATGTTGTCGAGTTACCCAGCCCTGTGGGAATGAGTACAACCCTTGACTTCTCTCTAGCTTTACTGGCACCTAATGTGCTCCATAAAAAAAATCATTTTTCTATCTTAGAAATAATCATTAGAACAGAAATAAATTTAATTATTTATTCTGTAGTTTTTCTGGAAGAGAATCATGACTGCTTTGCATATTCATGGTACTAAAAAATTCCCGTATCTTCAGTACAGTGTAATAAAACTGCAGAGCTTTTACCAGTTGGGCATCAGAGCATTCTCTTTCCCTCTGAACATGATTCCCACATTGGTGGCATGATCCCGAGAAGAGTAAAAGTCGGTGTAGTCACCTAACATTTAAGGTAAGAAACAGAAGAGTCTCAGAGTCTTACACTTTTTGTAGATTTTGCAACAGTCTCAACAGGAAGACACAGTGGATACAACTGCCTGGTGTCAGTATAGTAATGCATCTGCTCCAAAATCATCACAAGGTGACAAGAAACCAGGGTTACAAAACCTTTGAAAGTGCAAATGATATTACAGGACAACTCGTTAAACACCGATACATTATTTTTTAAGATAAAATCAAATTTATATTATTTATCTCGTTCTTGGACCCAGGGAAAGATGTAAGCAAACAATTCCAGAATGGAGCATGTTCTGTGTGGAGTTTGTATGTTCTCCCCGAATTTCTGTGAGTTTTCTCCAGTTTCCTCCCTCTTTCCAAAGATATGCTGTATGGGTTAATTGGTGTCTGTAAATTGTCCCTGTACACTCGAGTGTGTTTGTTCTGTGAAGGACTGGAGCCTAAGCTAGAGTGTAGTCCCGCCTTGTGTCCAGTCCTCCTGACATAGGCTCCTCTACAACTTTACCCAGAAATAAGTGTCTTTCTGAAAATGGATGAATTATTTATGATTGCAGGTCATGAGCTGGTTGTGTAGAGTGCCCCCTAGTGCTACACTGTATCAATTAATACTGCGAACGGCAGTAGTTTTCCGGCATGTACTGTAGAAAGACCCTTTAAAAGAATGACTTTTGGTTATGGTGTCCCTCTAAGTTTCATTTTATCTCAGCCTACTTTTAGCTTGTATTCTGGGAATTAAACTGGATGAATATAAGGGCACATCTTCTCCTACACATCCCAGTTCAATACAATCTTAGCAGAAAATCTAATTTGCACAGCCTAGTGATTGATACACTAAAAAGCATTAAGGATTGGGATGGTGCAGTGAATTAAGTCTTTTTTGCTGTATACTGCTGAAATTTTAATGATGTTAAATAAATGTAAAATATGTAAATATTAGGCAAATGTATAGTATGTCAGATTTTATTTCTGGACAATTTTGTTTGTTAAACCATGTTAGAAACATCCCATAATTTCAGGTCAGTATAAGTTCTGAGACAAATTAACAGTAAATTTAACTACCGTAAAGAGAGTATTCAATTATATAACCCTTACATGCTGTGACCCATACACATCATCAGACTCTTGATATGTTTCTTTGAGTTGCTTTGCCAAGACTTAACTGCAGCCACTTTCAGATGCTGTTTGTTTGTGCGGTGTTCTGTTTTAAGTTTCCTCTTCAACAGATAAAATGTAGCTCAACGTGACTCAAATCAGGAGATTGACTTGGCCAGTTAAAAGGTTGCCAAGCCCAAACCATGTCACTACCTCCACCATGTTTCACAGATGAGGCGGTGCGCTGAAGATCATTTGCACTTCCTCTCTGTCTCCATACTTTTGCTTTTCTGTCACGTTACTAAAGGTTCAACATCATCTCATCTGTCCCTAAAACTTTGTTCCAGAACTGTTTTGGTTCATCTTTATAATTTTTTGCTAATTCAAATCTGAAGACGTTTGATGAGGGAGCTGCGTCAACATGCGTAGAACAGGTAAAGGTTCATTCCACGCTGAAAGGAAAAGAAACATAAAGTTTCGACTGTGGAGCCTTCTTCAGGTGCGTTCTCTATAGCCGAAATGTTGTGTTTATTTTACACTCTGGAGATTGTCTGCAATCACTCTGCCTGTTATTTTAAGGTTTTTCTTCAAAGCTCTAAAGATTTTTCTGTCATCAACTACGGTTGTCTTCCTTGGATGATCTAGTCTTTGCCAATTGCTTACTCCTCCAGTAGTTTCTTTTAATTTTCAAGTTGTTCCATACTGTTGAGTTTGTGACAGTCTCTCTGCAATGGTTGTAATAGGAATGCTCTTCGCTCCCATCTTCACAATTGCTGCATTCCATCATGGACAACTCTCCAGTCCTCATCTTGGTTTATACATTCTAACTCAAGAGGCAGAACAAAAAAGTAAACTTCAAAGGCTGGAACCAAGTCTATACATCCACAGCTCTTTTAATGTTTTGAAAATTAATTCAACATGTACCCCTGCTTGATTAGAAACACCTGTCAGCCATTTGTCCCAATACTTGTGCTCACCTGAAATGGAGGGACTGAACACAACAGATTAAAAACGTGCTAGACATGTATGCAAAATAATACCCAGAAACAAAATTCTATACTTCTTTCCAAATATTAATCATTTGATCTTAAATACAAATTTCATTAGTACATTACAAAATGACACATTTCACTTCACTATTCCAATACTTACGCATTTCATTTTACATGGATAGATCTAATCTTCTGCTTAATACCATTCTTTACACAATCAAAATTCACAATTGAGACAACAGTGCAATATGTCAGTTATAAAAAAGCAGAACCATGGGAAATAGACCAAGACCTACCATATTCTCTTTAATTATACCTGGAACATAATCACATGGGGTTGTCACTAAAGAAGGGTTGCTGAAATGTTACTCAAGTATAACCTAATGCTCTGCAATGTTATGTGATTAATCACTTACATATGTACAAAACAGAAAATTACAAACGCACAGTGATGTGTTTTATAACCATTGCCTTGTTGATGTGAGAAGAGCTCCTTCACTATGAAGCACTCCTAAAGAGTTTTTAATTTGTATCCATAGAACACACATTACCGTTGTACTCCCTGAAGTAAACAAGGTTAGGTTGTGCAACCCCCCTACCCCAAATAATTCAGTGCTAATGCACTAAAAGATTAAAATAGTCAGTTTCACAATTTCCGTGGTAACCTCTGGTGCGAACGGTGAAAACACTCCCGCACAGTGGATTTCCTTGTACCTGTGGAGGACATTCAAAAGTCTTTCAGATGGAGGACTGGAGAAAAATATATCTTTCCATTGTAGGAGGACTCACCAATTTCAGCTGGAAGATGCATCTCTGCTAAACTCTGATGGACAAATGCTCTAAAAGACAGAAATATATCACAACTTATAAATACAATATTAATAAATAAAGATGTACTATAGCGGATACAGACTTTTTAACAGATGCATTAATTAATGGCTGCAAGAAGGTGAATTAAACAATCTGACTCCAAACGTGATATCTTTGAATATCTGATTTGTGCTTTTGAGCAGGAAAACACAATCCCTGAAAACCCCTGAAGAATTTCTGATGTACTTATTCTATAATCCTGAACTACTTCTCAACCTATGCAACCAATAAAAAAGTTTGTTACAAAATTATATAATGTTTATGTAGTTATACCGTACAGCATAAGTTATGTTAACGTATTTTCTAAAAAACAAGTACTTCTCTTGCAGATTCAAAAGAATGCACCAACCACCTTTGGAAGGAATTAATGCTTTCATTCTGTTAGCAAGCCCACACAGCTCTGTCATAGTTAGGCATTCAGACTCACTATTACACATTCGGTGCAGAATGTGGACTAGAACTGGTAATCATGTAGCCATGATGCATGAGAACATGGTTGCCAACCCCGTGTTGTCACAGTACCTTGAACCCAAGGATTTTCTTTAGGAGATATGTACACCCCTAGAATAAACAGGTGCCCATTCTAAAAGGAAATACATAAAATGTCTTTAATGGCTTTAACACCTAAATATCACAATATTCACAGAAGAGCATACCTGCTCCTGAGACTCACGTCGTCCCGAAGAGTGGGCTCATCAGCAGACAGCAGCTTCTGAAGCACTTGTCTCACCTCTCTCCAGGCCTCATGGCCCAGTGCCATGAAGGCATTAAGGGTTGGCTAAGACACACAATGCACAAATGTGAAACGTACAGAAACACAAGACTAGGTTAAAAGTCCATACCAGGAGCAGGGATCCTTAGAGTGTGACTCCGAGCCTGGATGGGGGGCCAGTCCAATGGCGGGACTACCCTAAAGCAATGCTGATCCCTACTAATAGAATTGGACTGGACCAGCTGGGTCAAGTACCTCACTCGAGGTACAACAACAGTGTGGGAACCAGAAAAATGAAGCCACAAGTTGTCATTTATGAGGCCGGCATCCTACTCACTAGGCTATGCCACCTCACACTGGACTAAGATGTCTATTAGATTAACTCGGAATACTAATGTAAAATTCTAACAATTATATAGGTAGGTAATGTCATTCAAGCCACACACAAGAACTCATCTGGCCAAAGCTTATGTGGAATAATCAGAAATGCTGGTTCCCACTTATATAGCATATACTAAATAAATATATAAATTGTTTACTTGAGAAGACAAAAATTACCTACCTGGTCAAATACATTCTGATGTCTTGATATCGTCGGCCCGGTAAAGAGAGTTTTGATAACGCCAAGGTCCAATATCTGATCTCCTATAGCAACGCCGATTCTATGCCTTGGCTGAAAGGGGATAAAAACCATTATACCTGAAATCAACAGTATTCTGGTAAATAACGACTCTTCCATTTTTTTATATTGAAATGAATGTGCGAAATTGTATCTTCTGAAATACCTTTAAAGTCTTTCATAGTCAAGGCATTAACAACCTCTGAGATTAAATGTAACCGTATGCAGCGCTCCAATCAGAGCTATACAATCACCAGATTCCCAAATTAAAAGCGTGCAAGATTTTGGAGGCAAGTAAAATATTAGCTCAAGTTCCAAAGTTCATTTGTATTGAAAAGTATGAGAAATGTGAACGTAACGTAAACGCAAACATAAATAATTTATTTAACGTCTCATGTACATATAAAACATGAAAAAAAGGTTTCCTTTACAAAACCGTTTTTTTATTCTTTGCGTTTAAAACTTTGAGCAGGTTCACATAAAACAGCACGTTGAGACTGGTATCCTACAGCATACTGTATACACAACTCTTACCAAATGCAGGTGGTTGCTAAATTCTTTCGGTTTTTATCTGTTCTACTTACGTTGTCCGGGGTTGAAAACACGCCATATGGCAAATTGTGAAATGAGAAGTCAGATTTTTCGTCCACTTTTATAAAAGACATTGTGTAGTTTAGGTGTCGCAGCGGTAAGGTCCTCAACGTTAGAAGAACGATCAGTAACTTCTCCCAGATGTTTGTAACTGCAGCCATACGGCCGGCGCCGCCTCCCCAGGCTGAATGTAGAGCCAATCACAGGCACAGCCTGTCTTATCCTCCCTTTTCTACCCGATCGTGCATACTGGTCAATAATTTGAAACAGATCTTAAATGACTCAGCAAGAAACTGTTTAAAATTGGGTACTCAAAAAAATATGATTATTCCGTGTCCTAATTTGCCGACTTTAAAAATAAAAAGGAGCTGCCAACTGTGTACAAGTGTTATGCTGCGATATATAAGTAAGAACTCGAGAAAGACTGGAGTGACTTAATGTGAAACGTCGTCAGAGTAATAAAACCTTAAATGCCTGTTCACCTTTATTTAGCGATACATAGGATTTAATGTATAGTGGTACATTTAAGCAACTTTCACTGGGAAACAATGAGGGCAGCCTATACATGCTCAACAGATATAATCAATTTAGCCAATGAATGTATAAATGCGTCTATGACCTGGCTCCACTGCTGTTGGGGCGGTGCGGTGGCTCTGTGACTAAGGATCTGCGCCTTGGCTATAAAGTTGCCACTTCGTATCCCACGGCTGGCAGAGGAATACTCTGTTGGGTCCCTGAGTAAAGCCCTTAACCCCAGCTGCTCCAGGGGCACCATATAAACGGCTGACCCCAAGCTTCTCTCCCTGTCTGTGAGTCTCATGAAGAGCAAGTTGGGGTATGCAAAAAGACAAACTCCCAATACAAGAAACCGTATATGGCCAATAAAGTGATCTTATCTTATGTTCTCCTCCACACAGATAGCTGATGCTTGATGAGCATACTGGTGGATTTTTGGCTGTCATCGCATCAACCAGGTGGGAGCTACAAATTGGTGGTGGAAGGGATTCCCCATCATCTGTAAAGCCTTATGAATGCAGTGTTCACAAAAGCACTATAAAAGGGTAAGGAAGTATTAATGTTTAAAAAAAGACACCAGGAGGGAATTTTTAGCCAAAGGGTTGTGGGAGTAAGGAATAACCTTGTCCAGCCATGTTGTGAAGCAGATGTGCTGGCTTCCTTATAGAAACAGCTGGCTGAGTTCCTTGAATCAATTTGCTACAAAATATCAAACACTAAAAGGGCCAAATGACCTCCCCCTGTTTGTAACCATGCTTATGGTGCAATACATATTTGAAATGCATTTACTGTTAAAATTATATACATTCCTATTGTTTTCTATTGGAAAATAAAAGGACAAATACTGTAAGTCCTAATCCTTTTCAATTGTAACTATAATTCCAAGCGTCTCCTCATAACTGAAAGAATTATGCACAGGAAATATTAGGACACTTTATGGAGAAAAGGGTAATCACTTTCTGTTCTCAATAATTACCGCGCCAGTAAACCATCCACAGCAATGTGCCCTCCACCTGCCTTTACTAAACGGTTGCTCAAAATAAGTAATTCCTCTCCTTATTCACTGATTTGTTTCTGCTTCTACTTACCAAACTCAAAATAAACCATGGAGAGAATTTCCAAATGCTTTCTTGCTATGAATGGTTTTCAGTTTCTCAAAGTGGCAGACTTCTTGCTTTTGGAAGAGGCTTTCTTCTTCACCTGTGACTCCAGTCCCCAAGGTTTCACAATCCCATAAGGTGAGTAAGACCAAGTTTCTGGACAGTACCAGTAAGAACAGCATTGCAGAAATCAAGCATATATCATAAATCTGCTATTCCTGAAGCATGAATAGTGGCATAATTGACACTAATTAATAAATGAGTACTTAGTGATTAATTACTATTGTGTTTCAGTCTGGTAATTCCTAATTTCCTTTAAATATTATAACCAATCAGAGAAAGATGCAAGTGACGTATATAAAAATCAAAAGCAATTCATATCACATTGTTATACCAAAATTACAACTATTGCCATTTTCTCAAAAATTACTGGACACCCAAAACAACGAGTTGCAAAATTTTATAACAAGTTATAAAAATTTGTAATTCTTAACTTTATTTAAGACAGTGAATAAACTAACATAAATACAGCACAATTTCAGGTCATACTTCATTTGTGCACTCTCAGATAAATGAACTATATTGTCCCATTAACACTCACAGCCAGCAATGAAGTGTATACAGGCATTTTATCCCCCCCCCCACCACCACCACCACCACTCAAAAGAAACATACAAACTTTTAAACCACAACATCATACATTCTCCTAAACAATTCAGATATAAATAATTTGTGGGAGCATACAAGCCAATAAATGTTGAAACTGTTTTTGTGGTCTGTTAATGTAGAACAAAAGCAGCCTATAATGATTAGAATACATTCAATTATTGATATCTATGAGTGCCTTTTAGAATGCACATTCAAAAGAAATCGTGCTGCAGAGGAAGAAGCCATATACAAAGAAAAAAAGTAAATGCTACAACATGCATTTTATAGTTACCAGAAAAGCACAGCCCTCCAGTTGTTTTCACCTAATTGTTATGAAAGCCCTTAAGTAACTAAAATTAAAATGGCATAAAATAGTATAAGTCCTAGAGTCTGCTCAGATTTCACCATCCAACCACAATGTCCAAAAAAGGGGATGAGTAAAATCATAACTGCAAGGGAAATATTAAAAAAAAAAGTAATTTTCAAAAACGCATTTCAGATGACATGCATGATTTATCTACTAAGGATACATAGCTGAGAATCCCCATTAATGGAATTTTAAAAAGAAACAAAACCCTCAAGTCAATGTAAATCACAGGTGTTTTACAAAATCCATCAAACTGATGCTTCAGATCTTCTGTATCTTCTCTCCAACAACTACTGGGTTTTCTTTCCTGATTTTCTCCGCTGCGTCAGCCTTGTAATCAAAGGTACAGTTGTGAATGTCAGAGTATCGGTGGATGCCACAAAACAAGTTTCCACATCTGCAGTCAAAGCCTGTAAACCAATCCAAAAAAAAAAAGGGGGTAAATTTGTACTTCAAAATATACACATACCAGAAGAACTCTGGAGACCAATTCCTGTAGTTATCTCTGTAAACAGTAACATGATGTATTCTGAAGATAAAAATGAACAATTGTGTATTAAAATGAATCACATCCTGGATCATTTCAAAGCTTGAGCCTCAGTGCAGAATATAAGAGAGAAATATAGACAGACGCTATGCGAAGAGCTGGTGTGTATACTGAACTCGAGACTAGCTGAGCTCACCTGTGAGTCCCACTTTCTTCCGGCATATAAAGCAGCGGTTCTTCTTCTGTTTGGGTTTTTCGGGGGATCTGTCCAGCCCTTCTGAAGAGGCCTGGTCAGAGTCATCCGACACGGAAGCTAAACAGAGAGAGAGAGAGAAGCTCATGAGAATATCGGCTTTTAATAATGACAAAAGAATAACACACCGCCGAAACTTAATATTTTACTAAAGAACAGCAAAGTTGCACTCTTAACATTCGGTCTCCATTCGGGTTAAACCAATTCCACCATTCAAGATGCATTTTCAAACAAATTGTTTTTCAATGTGGGGGCTGGTGTAAAACTAGAAAGGAAAATGGATGCAGTGGAAATGTGAATTCACCATGTTTTACCATTATTTTTCCCAGTGGTCTTATTTCCTCTTTAGATTGTACATTGTATAGGAGGTATTTTATTTCCCATAGCCTATGCCTGCACTCAAATTAAAACAAAGTGTCCTTTTGAACCCACAAAGCTGGAAAGCTCAATAAGGACTGCAAGCTAAAGTTATCACCAATTAAGTATTGTACTTACCACACATTCCATTTAATATCTGACCAGTTTCATCTAACTTTCTTTTGGGTCTCTTTGAACTGTCCTCCATGCACTCAGAACCTGTGTCTTTCTCTGAGATGGCTGCTCTATCCAATAGGCCAAGGGGACAGTCCTCCTTTCCTTTACTAACTTCCTTGCATACAGTGACGTTCACTGGTGTTTCTGTGCCCTCTATACCTAATTCAATAATAGGCTTGTCAGTCAATAGTTCCATAAGGTACTCAGCCAGGCCAAGCCTGTCTAGTTTAGATCCAAGGCTCTCCAGTTATAACTTCATAATTGATCAAAGAAACATACCTAGTGTTAATCACTGCCCGCTTCTCCCCAGAATGTGGAAACAGGATGAACATGATTTCCTTATGACCCCCACCACTAAAATTCATCTTAGTTCCCCTAGACATAATGAACCTGTATACAAAATGCAACACTTTTGACTCCTATATTTGATAGAACAAAACTCCAAAGTAATTCTGTAGGTCACCTGATGTATGAGCTTAAACCTACTATTAAAAACTTTCCCTTTAGATATGTAGGGAGTTCTGCCTTTTTGACCTGCAATAAAGCAGAATCACCACAAGAGGCTGCTGTTTAAGACTAAATTTCAGAAATGTAGTTTGAAAACTTAAGAAAAGGGCACTAGCAAAATCAATGGAACAATAATTCAAATCTTACACAGCAATGTACCAACTTTAAAAAAAGAACAGAATCTCAACCTGTCAGACACTCAAAAATTGAAATTTCTTATTCCATTATGCTCGGAAATTCCACATTTTTCTGTCCATCATCATGTAACTCAAATTTTGAGAATGTATGTTAATCCTACTTCACATCAAATTAGAGGGAAGGACACTAATGCAGCTGTGAGGGCCCATAGTATGTGACATCACAGTCTATCAGGTAAAGATGTATGGCAGCCTTTTCACAGCAGTGACCTTTTCACAAACAAAAGATTTGGTTTAACAAAGTTGAACACAGATTGTGAAGGCAGGGAACTGAAAAAACAAACAAAAAACTTTTTAAAAAACTGTACCATGTAATTCTTCTGTTTTCAGCCCTGTTTTGTCCCCCGTTGAATCATCCTCTTCAGAATTTGTAAGTGATGCTTGTGATAAGAGAGTCTGGCGCGTCACAATGCTAAAAGCATTCAAAGGGTTGTTTTTTAAACAAACAATGGAACACTGATTTTTATAACAGGGACTATTATCTAGGAATGCATACTGATGCACAATGAAAATGCAACTATGTTTTACATCAACAGCTCATTGGGCATATGATTAATGGTATTTACAATTTAAATAGTGAGCAGATTTGTTGATCAACTAGCATTTTACCTGGGGATAATATACTGATCTCAACGCGTGCTATTTCATTAAAAAAACAGGTACTCAAGGTGGTATTTGAGATGAGTTAAAAATGCCAAGATGAGTTTAATAAAAATCTGTATTAATGAAAACTATATCAAAACTTTTGTTGAACATGAGAATAGCTCAAGACTCCAACCGTGTCCTGTTTGAGTAAGGAAGATTCATGTTGCCTCTGCTTGAGTAATCAGAAGGCTACAACAGAAAAGCCAGGAAACCAGCCCTGTGAGGGACATAGGATTCATGAGTTTTTGGACACAAAATTCAAGGGCTTCCGAGAACTTGTCAATCTGTAAAGATCACAATTAAGACCTGGCTGGGGTTGAGATGTTTAGATGAGTCAACCAATAATAAAACGTTGACAAATACCATAACATCAACGTTCTGGTCAATGTACATGTGTCAATGAATCCTAGCATGAATCAGTAAAATTTTATTTTTCAAGAGCACCAGTTCATTTTTCTCTCCTTTTTGTGGGCCATTTATTGTGGCACACACATTAAAAAAAATCATTTAAAATTGTTAACTTTTTAACCGCTGTCATCTGACTGCCACTCATATACATTATTTTTTTTTAAATTGAAACTGCAGTGAATTGTCGATTTTGCTTAAAAATGATTCAATAAATTAAACAGCTTTGTGATGTAAACTTGTGGAACCAGCCAACATAACCAAATATGGTCAATTTAGTTATGCACAATAACTACACTACTATACATATACTGTTAAGCAGTGAATAATAAATAAAAAATGGCATTTATGAGAAAAATCATAAGCCCAAGAACAATGGTGGTAAGTAGTGATCTTCAACGACGTAATGGCACACTGCTGTAACTACTCTGCTGTTTCACCCCTATACTCTAAATTTTAAATATAAGTGTTATAAGCTCAAAGGCCTTTTAAGATTAGATTTATTTTGCTGTAAAATAAAGCATGATGTACAGCACAAACATGCATTAAAACAGCTTTTTAAAACCAAACTTGAAACTGAATTCCTAATATCTTTCTCTGAGACCTTTATGTCCTCTATGGATATAAAATATAAAAATATTAGTATATTAAAATGCAGTGCAATTTCTCAAAATTCATTTAGGCTGTTCTAAATATGATTCAAGTAAATTCTTCAATTTATAAAGTTTTAAAATGCATACTGAGCTTCAAAAAAGCCATCATGATTTATACATACTGTATATGTGTTTGGCAAAACAGCATACCTATTTTGAATATTGATATTTTCAGCACTATTTTGATTGACTGACCACTAATGGTCAATCGTGATACACTCAAGTGACTTTATTGCATAAGACCTAAACCACCTCATTACTTAGAATGCTGATTGAGTGTAGGCAAATGTCAAACCTTGTGATAATCAAGAAAAAACACAGAAACCAATATGCCCTACTTAACAATAAAAGAGGCATTGTTCTTTTGATATGTTGGATGCTGAACTAATCACCTCAGGTAGACTGGCAAGCAGTGGAGTCAAGTTCACTTTAGTGGTAACCACCCTGACAAGACATTGGTAAGTGTAGCTCAGACATGCAGAATGATATGCTAATTGTTGAGTACAACAGAGCAATCTATTGGGAGTTCATGTGTGATAGACTAGGAAGGAGTGTTCAGTTGCTACTGAACTACATTGTACTGACTGATGGCACTACATCACTACATTGATCAGGAAGTAGGATGTGAAAAATTCTAGCAGGACAACACACTTCAGCATTTCTTTTCTTCATGCGGCTGTTGTAAGAGCTTCATTAGCAAGATGCGATTGTGACACTTAAGCTACAGATGCCTTACCTGCCAGACTTGATCATCTACATGATAGAAGGGGGCAAAACCTGACATCCAGGGCTCAAAGATCAGTGAGTAGGCACAGGCTCCGTGAAAGTAAAGGGACTGGGAACAGCATTAGATGGATTTTTTACATTTACCTAATTTTAACTGAAATATCTTCTCAGTGCATTTTATAGGAGTATCTTAGCATTACTCACAAAGGTAACTCATGTAGACATGGAAATATGTTTGAATTGTCATCATTAAGGCTTTAATTTAATTGAATAATTTAGAATTTAATTAGAAGAGAACCCATTAGGTGCTTGACCCTTCTTAGTCCAAGACTTATGCGGTCATAAATTAACACTACATGTGTTTGCCCTAGAATAAACCTTTTTCTGGAAAGGTGACAAGTCTGAGATCAGAAGCAAAAGGACAGTACAAATCTTACCACCTACAGTAAAGAAAACATTCTAGCTAGAAATGGGGAGAAAAAATCAGGTTTAAGAGAATGATTTTGAAGGTGTGCACTTGAAACATTTATAGAATTCACAATGGTTTGACAATATGCGCTCTTTTTATTATAATGTCATACTCATGTTTAAAATCAGTGATGTGTGATGTCCCCTCACCTCTGAGGCAGAAAGATTTATAAAGCAAGAAACAGTTTGGGTAAGTCTTCCAAATGCTCTCTAGCACTCCTGGGCTGATTTAAACTGGATAGTTCTGTTTGCTCCATTGAACCATGCATTCTACAGCCAAAGCCAATGTTTGTGTAGGAAACACATAAACATGAAATCTGTACCTGCTCTGCTCCAGTGGTGTAGCTGTCTGGGTTAGGGTTGCTGTGACGTCTGCAGGATTTCCTTCTGAACACTGTACTGGTAAAGATTCTCCTAAACTACTCACACCAGAAGGGGCTGTGAAGAACAATAGGCAACTCTTTTTTAATCATTCAGGCATATATATTCCACTCCGAAGGAAATGGTATAAGAAAATGCTGAAAACATTCCATGGCTAGAATTGAAAATGTGCATATACTGATCCAAAAAGATCCGAGTTTTTTACATCATTTGCACATTGACATCAAACCCTTTAAGGAAAAAGGATACAATTTAAAAAATTAGAGTTTAGAGAGACTACTGGCATTGGTATTTTATTAGCAAAATAAAGGACTTAAAGGTACTGGCTGCTTATGCATTTGTGCATGGTATTTCAATAAGAAAACTCGGTATTCACTTGAAAGCCAAACAGTTTGTGATGGTCACAGGAAGATGCGTTTTAATGAACCTGAATCATATTACTTAGCAGGGTGATGGAGGCTTCAATGCAACATAATGAATCTTTACTTACCTGGGGGGCTGACTCTCCCATTACTGTTCTGTCTCTGCACAAAATCCTTATAACAAACTGAACACATTCCATTTGTACGAGGGTTCCCATAAAATCCACAGCCAGTGGCACAGAGCATAGGCACTTGGGTTTGGTTAGTCTCTTGAGCCATATCCCACCTACAGGAAACAAAAATAAAGCAGACTTAATGTCAATTACAAATAATTTCTATATTGGGAAGCAAAACCAGTTCAACTGCTTCACAAACACAAAAAGTTGAAAACATGGTTAAAAAAAGGTTAAAAATAGAATGGCGATCCCAAATCTGCTACTTGGTCTCACCTTGCTGCCAGCTGAGAAGGTGTGAGCAGTTGGCTTCCAGATGGTTTTGGCATCAAGGTAGCAGGTAATAAAAAAAGGCATGTAGAATGTGTAACTTCAAAATCAAGCTTTTAAACTCTGTGATTTTTATCCTTTGGCCATGACTTTGTAGATCTACAGTACAAACATGACTGCACAATAAAGCATTTTCTCAACAGACACTGCACTGTAGCAAGTATCTAATTAACTGGTATACCCACTTAGTAACTCGTTGCTGCTACACTGCAGTTGAAGTGTGTTTTTGCCACAGGATAGGGAAAAGCTCATCAACAGCACATCTCAGCGGCACCGCATGGCGATACAAAAACCCCTTGTGTCACATCTGCTGCTACCGGGTTTGGATCACTGCAACAGCCTAAATATAGAATAGCTGCATCAACTGAGAGTAGCAGCGGCTGTGTAGCAGTACCCACTTATTGCTCTTTTAGAACTGAAATAATCAGGCTGAGTAAGACAAAACAGAATGGGAAGCATCACCTATGTTTGTGACAGTCCAGTACAAAGTCTTATTAAAATGTAGGAAAAAACACAAACAAATTGACAATAAGCAGACATCCCAGAGCTCTCACTATCCACGTTGCTCTTTGTTCTTCAATGTACATAGCACCTGGTCTCTAGTGTATCATACAGCACTGTTACTAAAAACCACACATTTCAGTCAGCAAAACCAAACTCAAAAGAAGAGTGTTTAAATTAACGAACGAGCAATAGTAAATACCTATAACAGGTCTGACAATGTTTAACAGAAAGGGTGTTGGGTGAAATCCAATGACACACTATTCTGTACAAGTATAAGTAAGGAGCACTCTTTTCATATGCATCTTAAGCAAAAAGCAATTTTTTACAATCCAGTAAACAGTTCTAATTCACTGTGTAGCATCATTATGCCATAGATTAAATCTTGTACTCCAAGGTGAAATAAAAAATAAAAATAATGAGAAAGATAAATACATTTCTTAAAGGGAAATAGTACATTCAAGTGGCTTGATGGCAAGCAGTACAGGCTTTTGTCTGCAAAGCACCACGTGAACAGAGCTTGGCTGGTATGCCTGAGAGGAGGTAAAGCAATCTCCACTTCTGGAGAAAAGACTCTGGTCTATTTCTGAGACATCTACACTAACTGCAGAGATTACATTCTCACAGTGAAAATGTAAGAACAAAACAATTGTTTTTCGTAAAAAAAAACAACTAAAAAAAAAGGTTTCCTTGAGGATCATGGTTTCTGTAGTCAATGTACTACTGCCACACAGCATAACAAAACAGCAGATTATTCACCAAAATCTAAAAACTATCAAACTGCACGCAGTCTTTGAAGAAAAAGAAATATGGACTTAGAATTGGAAATATAACCTTCGACTAGTGTTAACTGAGATCAATGAAACCTGTCCTAAAACTTTTAAACTTTAAACTTCCAGTACCACAAAGCTGTTATCATGTCTGTTTCAGACTAGATATTTTCTCAGCCTACTGCCCTGTTGAATGTCTAAAATAGTGGATGTGCTGCAGAGCCTGTTGATTAACACCAGCAATTTCTCCTTCACTGTTGAATAGTACATGTAAAGTCTTTAAGAATTAAAACACCCATGGGTATTGCATAGTTTTGGAGTGAGAGGCATTGTCTATACTATGTCTAATTAAAAGTTAATGTTAAAACAACCTGTGCAAAACCTCTAACAAGATCAAACAAGTTCTGCTGGTACGTGCAGGTTTAACTGAACATTATCACATATCTAAATAATTTAACAGAATACTAGATGCTGCTGTCAAGATGTATTCCCAAATAATGCTAAATTAATGAAAAAATTGCAATGCTAAGAATTACTCTTCAAAAACTCACTTAATGTAATAATAATCAATTATTGGCATTTCACGCCATTTACTTTTAGAAATTTGAGCAGGAGAGCCCAGGCTAACATTGAGATTCCACGATTTTTATTTAAAATTAAACCAAATATGAATGTATTCTCAATTGACTAATTTGGAGTCACAACCTGCATGAGATCTATTTATACAGCAGGGCATGTACTGCAGCAATTTTAAGGGGTGTACCCTTGAGCAAAGTATAACAGGAATAGGAATGTCTTAACCATGAGCTCCCGTTTCAGAGTCCAAAGCTGTACTGTGCTGCTGCCCTGTCAAGAAGACATTACTGACTGAGAAAAAACACTGCATGTTTTTTCTGTCTCACTCCTGCAGAGGGCACAACATATAGTACAACTACAAGTACAATTTGCATTGGTGGTTCAGTGGTAGAATTCTCGCCTGCCCGGGTTTGATTCCTGGCCGATGCAGTGCTTTTCGAGCCAGCACCATATCACCCTGCAACTCACAACTGGCGATCCACTGAAGCAACCCAGGTGTGAGCTTGGTCAGTACCTGGATAGGAGACCACTTGGGAAAAACTAAGGCTGCTGCTGGAAGAGGTGTTAGTGGGACCAGCAGGAGGTGCTGTGTGGGTCCTAATGCCCCAGTATAGTGACGGGGACACTATACTGTAAAAAAATAAGGCGCTGTCCTTTGGATGAGATGTTAAACTGAGGTCCTGAATCTCTGTGGTCATTAAAAACCCCAGGGTGTTTCTTTTTAAAGAGTAGGGGTGTAACCCTGCTGTCCTGCCCAAATTTCCCAATGGCCTTCACCAATCATGGCCTCCTTATAATCCCTTCTTTCAATTAGCCTCATCACTGTGCTGTCCTCTACACTGAGCATACTGGTGCGCTATTGCTGCCGTCACATCATCCAGGTGGATGATGCACAGTGGTGGTGGAGGGGAGTCCCCATTACCTGTAAAGTGCTTTGAGTGCAGTGTCCAGAAAATTACTATATAAGTGTAAGGAATCATTATTATAAATTGTTAATCTGGACAAACCACAATGATTCTTCTGTTTAATAGTTGCATAATTACCTTAATAAAGGTATCTGAAATACTCTTAAAACAACAGTTCCAATGCATTGGTTACAAAAAACAACCAGAGATGAAGATTTGATAGTAAAGAGGCTTTCTTAGCAAGAATCAGGAAAATCAGACTATTTTATTGCAAACTAATTCTTTCAGAATAAAGTACCATCTCAAATCACATTAGACGTCAAGCAGCTACAACAGCATGTACTGTATACAGCTCAAAGGTAAAGCTCAGAGAGACAACCAAGCAGTAAGACAGCACATGAAATAAGCCAAGACAAAATACACTGAAGCCAAGAAAATCATTGCTAACGTACAGTAATGCCACATTTGTAATTGACAGTCCAGTGTTTTATTTTACATCTACTGTTGGTCTCCATCCAAGAACATGTGGGTAAGGGTCAAATAATGCAGTTTTGGAGAACAAATATCACTTTTGCCCCGCCTCCAGCTGAGGTGTGAAGGAGGCAAGTGTTGGGGCTTCAGTAAGAGCTCCTAGTCCAGGGGTTCCAGAGTCAACGAACTGAAGGCAATGGAGTTCTGAGGAGGAAGCAGAATATATGAGGTCCTGCAGTGAAGTATAATAGAATTAATAACTTTGCTTGCTTACAGCAAAACCTGATTAAGAACCTCACACTTATGAAGAACCAATGCATCTACGAACAAAGAATGACAATACACACAATTTAAGATGTCTACAATTACTATAGGAAATAAACATATATAGTTCTCTATAGAGATAGTGCAAAATAAAATTCTATTCCTTATATGAGCCTTAAAGCATCTATTGATAAAGATCTGGGACCTCTGAGTTTTGACCAAGTTCATTAGTTCCATTATGCTAGGAATGGCCAACTACTGCCCATGAGCACTAGAGGGTATTCAGAGTTTCATTTCAAAAGTTCTCCAAATGGTTTAATAGAACAACTTACCTGCTTAAGTAGTCAAAACAAAATTGGTAATCTAGAGAAAAAGATTTCTGAATGATCTTATCCGGATAGATTGTGGTTATCCAGGAATAGCCAATAGCATGTCACTGCCAAACAGAAATAATTTGAACAAAGTCTGCCTCTGTTAAGAGGAATGTGAACTACAACAACTAGGGTAATTAAACAAGAAACAATGCAACTTAAAAAACCTCTTAGGAAATACTCCTCTAATGTCTCATTACAGCTCAGGACGGAAAGGGTACCTAATGAAAATGCTCTCTAAAACAGCTTGACCTTCTCATCCAGCTCAAGCTATTATGATGTTGCTTAATCAGCAGAATAAATTAATTCAATTAATTAAGAAATGAGATCAATTATTTTCTAAATGCTATAAATCTTTTCTGCACACTTACTATTTAAATTATGCTAATCTCATTATCTTCTTCCATTGCATCAAGAAAATGTAAACAATATTCATGAAGTCCCCTCCCATTAGAATGAGGTAAAGCTTTGCCTATGAACAATCTGTTAATATGCTAGGACCTTTTTAGCATGACAGTACCCGAGTATTGTCACTGTTATCTTTTATCCTCCCATTTGTGATAATCACATGTCCTGCCCTGTGACAACACCTTTCACGCAATCTCACAATTACCTCTTGCCAGTGCGGTAGACTTTAAATTAAAACTTTAATTCCAGGATCACAGTACTCTAGCATTGGTCTATACCAAATGGGAAATTGCATCTCCTGCCTTCTGCATTCTGTCACACACAAATCTAAACTGTGCTAAATTAGATCTCTAAGATTAATTAAAGGTTGATCATCATAACGTTTCCCCATTATACAAGAAAAACAACTCACACTACCACTGAATATTAATAAGGAATTCTAGATGCATCAATTTTCAAGACAATGGAAAGTGTTATTTAAAGATAATTTCTCCCTCATTTTCATTTGGTAAACAGGGAAACACTAGCTACTCTGCTGAACTAACTGCAGATTCCATGTCGCTTGACAACCTAGTAATTTGTATATACAAATTCCACTTGTAGCTTTCTGCGGTGCATTTTATATTCCAGTATTTCACTGGATTATCACAATGGGCTCAGAAAATGTACAGACTAGCTCAGCAGTGACGAATATCACTTAGTTCTAACTGTTTGATTACGAACACTCAGAGTTATGTATTATCCTACATAAATACAGTTGAAAAGCATGTGAAATGCACTTTTGTTTGTAAAGTATAGAAAGTTCTTTAATAAGTCTTTAATTTTTGATTTAAATTCTAAACATAAAAACAGAATTCCTTTCAATATCTTGAAAGATGAAACATAAGGAGTACATTCTACAAAAAAGAGCTGTTGCTGTTTAGAAAAACAACAATATAACCTCACGCTGTAGTGTGGTTGTCTGAGGTACTTCTCAAAATCAAATAACTCTTACCAGTATAGCTTGTTTCTATCATGTTTAAAGCTATTATTTCCCCACTTCAGTCACAATTCAGACAACACCCATCTTAAAAAAAAGTCTTCTTAAAAGCGCTGTACTGTACAAACAGGAACAGATTTACAGTCCCTCAGAAATACTGCATGGTATTTCAAATATTTTGTGCAATGTAGTGTAGCCACTGTAAATACCTGTCCAAAGCTGTACAGCAAGTGCAGTCATTTTAATTCTGTTACATTTCAGTACTGCACTAAGTAAACACTGCAATCAAATAGGAACATTGTTCCCAATCCTTATTTTTTCCTCTAAATGCACCATTGACTGATTTTGAACAATGCTTGCTTGTAGAATTAAAACAGTTGTGATAAAGTAGTCGACACAAAGCCCCATTTTGCAGAACAGCTATAAAGCACTTCAGTCCACTGCGAATTTAATTATTTGCAATACCAATTTGCTTTATCTTGTATGGTGACAGAGTCAATTGCCCTATTAAGGATATAAATATAAGGATCCACCTTAAACTTAAATTTCATACAGACTTAACATGTCTAAGAGTGACACCCCACTGCTCATCTTTCTAGTAGTAATTAGTGAGACTCCAGAAAAGTACACAGCCTCAGTAAACAATCTACTGTTAGAATCTGTGAGCTTTAACCCTGAAGTAACACTTTATAACATTAAAAAACTACCCAATTAAATGTGTTTACAAACTGGCAACTGTTGATTGTCAAATTAAATCATTTCAGAAAGCAAAAATAAATTAAACCTCTCTGCTTTTTATCTCACTTTTTGCAAGAAACCAGTGACATTTACATTACAATTAATACTTCAGTACTGTAAAGGAACAGACAGGTCATATAATTGTATGCTTTACATCATACTGCTTCAGCAACAGTCCTGTATCTGCTGCTCTGGAACCATATTTGACACTTTTGCAGCCTATTTTTAACAAAAATAAATGTTTCTGGAGGCATGTAATTTTCCCGCGGTTCCTCTGGCAGCTGGTTTTCATATTGTAATTCTAAAATGGGATCAACCGTGGCCTGACAACCATTTGCTCACCAGTAAAAAAAGAAATATTCAGGCAAACCTTAAGAGAGCCACCAAATAATAAGACAAGGTTTCTGATGGTGGGATGCAAATTTTTCTTGAACACCAAACAGACTCCAAAGACTAATCGACACTTTCCAGCATTACAGCTTATATAATGAAAACATTATTAATCTCAGTTACTTAACTGAGAAGGGCTCATAAATCATCACGAGAAAGAAAAAACGTGGGTCAGAGGAACTAGTACTATGAAAATGTTCTTCACTCAATATTGCCAAGACGCACTGCAACACCTGAAACAGCTCTTTCATTACAACAATTCCTGCTAAATTGCCCATTTATCTTTTCACTTTCAAAAAAAGTAAAGTTTACCAACACAATGAGAAAGCTCTCATGATACTTGTGTAAGGATGTATTTCTTGTACAGCAAGGCAAAGTTAGAAATTCCCCAAGCAGGCCTAAATCTTCTCAGATCACACATGATGATCCCCTAACAGGAAAACAGATCACCCTAAATTAAAAATGAAACTAATGTGCAGAAGTGTGACTAGTTAATCAGCAAATAAAAATATAACATGTTCAAGAAACCTATAAATAGTTTACAATAATAATGAGAATTTGAAAGACTTACATACATATATACATTCTTGTTCTTTTTAAGACCACACACAATTGGGCTTACATCGTACTGAGGCACAACACAGGTAAAGATAAAAAAAATATTAAGGTATATTCCCACTAGGTGTGCAGTTAGCAAGATGTATTTATAATGGTCATAAAGTCTTAAAACAATCTTAAAATTCCCACATATGCCATGGTAGACAGACTAACTCCAGTAACCACCCTGTTCAGTTCTCTCTGTACCTTGAGCTCCAGAAGTTCAGGGCCAATGCTGATTATCAGATGCAAGTGTAGACTTTTACTACTACTACTACTACTATAACAATGGACATAACACATAGATCACCATCAGTGTATGAAAATATAGCTAATAGTTTAATACAGTACTGTGATAATACAACTATATGGAATCTATTCAAAAAACAATTAACCAGAGCTATCCAGCTTGGAACATTTGTCCTTCAAATATTTCACACCTCACAGATTCCATTTAAAATTGCTATCATATTTTTGAATGTTTTACAGCATAATGCTCATCTCCCTAGGAGTAATTTTGCCCATGTCATTTGCTACAGGAAAATACATATCAATCAAATAAATCTCAATTTGCCCCATGAAGGAATTCCTTTCAAAGTTTCAGTGTACAGTACGTCTGAGAAAAACATTTGTCCCATAAAGAACCTCTTGTTCTTCAGATGGGAAACGATAAAAAAACGTGACACTTCTCTTGTTATGACACAGAAGCTATACACACTAATGCAGGATATAGTTCTCGCTTTATAAAGCACCAATGACTTATTCACTATTGACGCCACCTGTTCTAGAGTTGTCACCACTAGAAACACCGGACAAAAACAGAATTCTCCCCTCGGCTTTAACATGTCAGCGTTTGCTTTGTGGTGTACACAGCAATTATTTTACAGGGTTATGTGAGCGATGGATAATTCCATCCAACTTTTGAAATTACACCATATAAATTATATTAAAACAACGTCCGTGCCTTTATTACGATTAAGTTGATGTGATAGTTGTTTCTCCTTTAAAACCCCAAGTGTGATGTTGAAACAATTAGTGCAATCTAAGAACAACCCGGTTGTCACAGAACAGCTAACTGTACTTACACAATATTAATGAAACAAAGTGTTTCCAACGCAGAGCTTGTTAACAACATTTAACTATATTCTTGTAATGGCTCTCTGATCTTTAGTTTAAATATTCTTGATTTCATTCGGTATTTTCAAGTATTTTCAAAATTGTAAAAAGCTGCTTAAAACCTGTAAATACCAGACTTAACGACGCTAAATCCCTAAACATCCTTATTTCCCGTCTCTATAACAGTGTCCTTTTGTTCTAGCTGCCGGCATCGATTTTAACACAATGCCATCTCGATAAATCAATGGTATGGTTATTTCCTAGAGCACCCTGTGCCAAAATAATCCTTTTTGGTTAGAAATATGAATAAATTCTAACTTAAACATCGAACCTACCGACAATTTCGAACCCAGATCCCCCTTCTTCATCAAATTCTCGACTACACCAGCCAAAACAGGGACTACCTACCCCACGGCAAGGCACGCCCCTGCCCAGCTCCGATTGGTCAGATCTATGGTGAACCCACCCATTCCCGCCTCTTTTTGATTTAACTCACGTCAATCATTGTTATGAACTTTTCATCCAACAAGTTAGGTTGAGTTAACAAAAACCTTTTTAAATGGTTTATGCTTACAACTCTAAAAGGAACACTGCACTATTTTGTTGTTCAATTATCAACACATGATATATATACATACAATATTAAAACTAAAAGTAAACGCAGTATGACGCCCTTTAACGCCATAATTAGAACCAGATTAGAAAATGTGCCGCCGTTAGACTAACAAAAAGTGGTTTTAGACGTGATATAAAATAATGCAGCATACTACTAGTGCTACATGTTAATTACCGAGTCAAACTAACTTCACAATCAAGTGCGAATAATTGAAAACGAAAAGTAGACTGCAAAGACTATCAAAAAAGATACTGCATTCGAACTTGGGAGTTACGAGGTTGTCACACAGGAAATGAAACTTGCAGACGAATTTGCTGCACTCACTGCGCTGCTTACCTGAACGCGCGCACACACCTTCCTGACCCGGAAGGCAAGCGAACCTGTCTCAGGTAACAGCTCGCACTGCTGTCCGGCAACATTTCTGCAGTTTTCCCACACTGAACAGTTGTCACGTTGGGTTTGCGAAAGAGCAGACACTCATTTGGATCAAGGTTCATGTCAAGAGCAAAACTGGTCTGGAAGACATCGACTAGTGGCGTAATCTATTTTTTACTGAACTGCTAGGATTAGCAGTAGGTACAGGTCAACACCCAGAAAAAAAAGAGGTTACTTTAGATAAGAAAGGTTTAGGTCGCACTCTCCAGTTAAAAAGGTGGATAAATAAAACGCACAATGCCAAAGATTTCAATTACAATGTTCATTTAAAACTTGTAAAATACAGATAAAAACTGTACAGCATAGGGTGTGCAAAACCACCATTGTTGCATCTATGCTCCCACATTTTTTCCTATTTGACAGACTTGGTTTAAGAGCCGTATGTGCTAAACAGCTTATAAATCCCCTTGGCCATATAGGTTTGGAGTGATGGGAGATCTCTTTTCAGAAAAATCAGTTTCATTCAGAAGCCCCAGTTATTTATGACGTAAATCCGTCATTATAACATAAGTAAGGACTGAAGAAAAAATACTAGAACGAACTGTATGTCCTCAAAACAACAGCAAGAGCTGCCGTCCTTAACTGCTGTCCTAGACTCGAGGTGATAAACTTGTCTTAAATTTTCAGAAGCCCTTGGACAGTTTCTAAGGACTTGTTATTGGTCCATTATCATCACTCCCTCCTCCGAATCATGACTGACTGGATACAACATGGATTAATTTACTGTCCCAACGTATTCAGTCCCCCGTGTGATCCACTCAACACATGTACACTAATTACTTGTTCCTTTGCAGCCTACGCATGCTGACGCAGCTACCCACCTGAACTATATGTACACTAATGTTTGGAATCGCTTCTGTAAGACTCGGTGAAACCATTTACAGCCAGTTGGTTCTTGCAACCTTTCAGTCAGACCGACTTAAAAACAATTTCCTACTTTCCAGGGGCAATGTTCTGCTTTAATTTAAACTGGAGAAAATAACAAGTGATGTTTACTCGCACCACAGCCTACTACAAATGACTGCTGTAAATCAATTCCTTTAAATACAAAAACAAAACCAGAGGTACAGAAGAACCTCAATTTAGTTTCGCCCTCTTACGTCCAATGAAACCGTTAATTGTAATTTTTTGTTTCTAACGCGTTTTATTAGATAACTTTTTTTGGGCTTCACTTTATAAAGACCTAAAACTAGTCTAAAAATGTAATTCACTTCCATAAACAAGTACTCTATAGTGCTTGAATCAGGACTAAGGAAATAGGTTCAACGATACAGTAAAGCACGAATCAATAGTTCTGTCCTTGAAACGCACAATACACGTTTCAGAATAGTGAATCGACAAATAGTTACAAAGAAACACAAACAAGCCAGAGAGCTTAGGAACAACACAATGCTGCACACAACCGGTGGGGGTGGGGTTGTTACAGATGATCTGAAGACCAGGCATTCGGGGGGAGTTTGTCACCTTTCTTGGGAGGCCAAACTTACAACCCCAAAGAAAATTAGGCTTCGAGTTAAATAAGTGATCGCAAAAAACTTCTGTAAAAAAAACTTAGTTAAAAACATTATTGAAACAGGGGTTACAACGCCAACAGACACCGTACAAAGTGTCTAATTTACTCCATACAAACGTTGAACAAAATAAGCTTCGCGAACTATGTTTGAACACTTTCCAAATAAAACGAAGGTCTAATGCAATCGGAAATCGCTATTAAAAGAACTTACGTACTCTTGGAAAACTCAGCGAGCAGACCCTGCAGTCTGGCTGCGCTCCCGTCCAGCCTCCCCAACCACCTCGTTTGTCACTTTCATCCCCACCTCAACTGCGTCATGGCGTCACAAACGGCCAGGCAAACTGATTGGTCATAAAGGCTTTACGTCATCTGCCGAGAAACAGTTTTCACTTCAATGTTTTCAACTGTATAACAGATTGTATTTTAACTGAAAAGATGTGGTCCGTGATTAGAAAAATAATCGTTGTAAAGAGTTGGAATTCGTTTCTTATTTACTAATGGGTATTGCTTGCGGGATTTCATGTCAGAAATCCAAATTATCAGGCTACAATCCTAGAAAACACGAAGTACATGTACATTGTAGTTTTAACATAACATCCTATGATTTCAATTTCATGTTTACAAATATGTATCCTAACATTGTTTGTCTTTTTATTGTTTCCCCACATTGTCTAGAAGATGTAAATGTGTCGAAATAAAATCGCTTTATTTAGTAAATAAGGTTAACAAAATTCTTTTTAAATAACTACCATCATTAAGTTAAGTTTTTCGACATTTTATGCTGTAGTTTATGTTTTTTGCTACCTGAATGCAATGTTCTGCACTTGCATACTTTAAGCATCATCTACCAGATGTCTGTTTAGTGCTGAATTCTATCTAAATCTTTTTGAAGTTGCTTTGCATCTTCATGCTATGGTGTTGGATAATTTCTCTATTTTGTTTGTGCGCACTTCACTAGTTTACTAAATATATACTATAATATAAATATATAAATAATATATATAAATACAGGAGTCTATATCAGTGATCTTTACTAAGAGTTTTACTCTTTTTATAGAATCCTGTGGTACTCAGCTAATTACATTAACCAGATATGAGCAATAGACTTTTAAATATACTCTGTACTCTGTCCATTAAACTCTACTAAGTCCATAGACAAATATTATTGTGTATGTCCACTGCCTGCAGTTCACGTCCTGGTCTTGATGAAAAAAACTATGCAAAAGAGGCTAAAGAATATATAACAAACATGGCCGGTTTTTGCAGGAAGCTACATCTCTGGTTAATGATCCCATTCCATTTTATTCTTTCTTAAAAATCAGTCCCCATAGTTTTGAGAACGCCAATTTTCACTGAATATGTGTTCTAATGCTTTGCCATTTCCCAATACTTTGTGCTTTGAGTGTATCCTTACAATTTAAGCAAAACTCCACAATAAATTTGACAAAAAATAACAGTTCAACAGGCACTCGTCTCCAGATCAATGTCAGGCTCTTTGTTCCTATTAGGGTACAGAGATCCAGTTCCTCAGGATCTGGGAACAACTAGGAATGACTGACTGGGAATGTCAGTGCCGAGGGGCAAGACCCAGACCCCACTGTTCTCTGTTCCGACCTCCCAGCAATGTAACAACCCGCCATCTTCTGGCAAAAACTGAAAACTTATCTCTTCAGGATATAAGATGAGATCACTTTATTGGCCATATACAATTTCTTGTATTAGGAATTTGTCTTTTCACATACCCCAGCTTGCTCTCCATGAGACACACAGACAGGGATAGAAGCTTGGGGTCAGACGTAGGGTCAGACATTTATAATAATAAACTTTATTTTATATAGTACCTTTAAATGTGGCTTCTCAAAGTGCTTTACTGTATACTGTGACCCTGGAGCAGTGGGTGTTAAGTGCCTTGCTCAGGGGCCCAGCGGAGTAGGATTCCTCTGCCGGCTGTGGGTTACGAACTGGTAACGTTCCAGCCACAGGCGCAGATCCTTAGCCACAGAAAGAAAACAACTCACACTACCACTGAATGTTAATTAAGAATTCTAGATGCATCAATTTTACAAGATGGAAACACCTGGGCGAAGTATATGGAAAGCAAGGGATTCCACACAGATGTGGCTCAAGTGTTAGTTAACATTCCAGCATGCTTAGAGTCAAGTATAAAAGTGCTGGAGAGGCCCGATTATCTCTGATTATAGATGTCATTGGCTGCCAGAGGAGATCTCTATGACATTGAAAGAGAGGTGATTGTTGGAATGTGTTTGGCAGGAGTGACAAAGACAGCTCAAATGTTTCATGAGCAGTGTCTAACATGATGTAAGTATTGAACATCAAGAGAAACAGACCATCAGCAAAGGGCAACGCTGGGCAGAAATGCATATTCCAGGACTGTGACATCTGTACATTATTTCAAAGTACAAGTGAAATCACTCAAGCAAATGCAGATTAATTGACTGCAAATGTCCATCTGGGGATAAGCAGCCTGTTTAATCCAAAACTGCTCATCAGGAACTGCACAGAATGGGATATCATAGTTGACTTGCGGTGCACAAACTATTTATCACACCTGCATGTTTACAAGTCCATAAGCAGTAGACTAAAAACAATGGAGAAATGTGATAAGGTCAGATGAATCATTCTTCAGTGCACGTGTGGTGCCAGCCCAAAGACCTCAACAGCCTTGAGTGCTTGGTTCCAATAGTGAGGGGTTTTAGAGATTCCATAATCTTATGGGAAGCATTTTCTGGCATGGTTTGGGTGCACTCACTCAATGCCTAAAAAGGCAAGGTCAATGCTAATCACTAAATCAATACTTTATGGTACTGAGTGTTCATCTTCACCCCCTATTGCAGCATTTCTTTCCTGCTGGCTGGGTTGCCTTCCAGAATGACAATGTACCCATCCACAAAGTACATGTCACCAATTACTTACATTGATGAGCATGATCTTCTCAGTCACCAGATCCAGAAACCAGTCAACCATAAAAGCTGACTTTGGCAGATATAAAAATATGACTTTAGACAAATACAAAACATTTTATGGTATACCGTGCCACAGACAGAATACTGTATGCAGAGCCTAATTTGTGAAAACCCAGACAGGAAACAATAAAGACAGAGGGCTTTTTGTGATTATATTTAAGAAATCAAAAGCATGCAATATTACAAATTACAATACATTAGATGATTTATGTTATGGTGAAGTAATAATAATAGAACCCCTTCTGCTATTTAAGGTGTGTGTGGCTCATTATTTCAAAAACTCATTTTATGAACACTGGGCCTATTTTGTAAACTTCTATTTGTTCTTAGGACTTTGCTTTGCCTCTGTTCTATAATAGATCACCTGGAATTTAACCAGGAGAAATACTGATTATGATGTCAGTAAGATGGCCTTTTGAATTATAAGCTTGTTATTCATACATTTATTGGCATTTCACGATAAAAAAGGATTGCAGAGTTAACTATCAAAATTCAAGTATTATGAACATTGGATCATGTTTAATGATGTTATGACTTTACATTCAAGGGAAGCTCATCTGGCACAGCATGTTTTACATATAAAAACTGTGAATGAAAGTGATTTTAACAAAAACTAGAGTGTTTCATTTTGTCATGTCCTGAAATTGTATGAAAACAGGAATTTCATCTTACTTGAGGAATTCTACCTTATATCTTAAATTGCTCACCTAGGGATGAATAAAATATTTTGAATTAAATTGAATATACTGTAGATAGCTTCAGATTACTTCTGTGCTTTGTGCCACAGAGAACACAAAAATCTTTTTTGTGATGATATATTGTCTTGTTATTACTACTGAAAAAGCCATTATGCCCATAAGGAAGATACCCATATAGAATCATACAGTAGTGATTAAGGTACAGAAAACACTCATTCATGGATGTTTATTAACTGTATAGTTTGAGGGCACTTTCTTTTTTATTCTTTCCTTTAACAATGAGACAGACAACAGATTCCTACCTAGTGATTGATACAGCATTTACACAATGGGACATTTATTGGAACATCTGGTGTAATGTTGCCAACATTGCTCAAAGTGATAATAACAGCATCCTGTGTTGAACCAAAGTCTGGATCCTTAACACTTATACCTCCTGCTGTCTTTTAGGATATTTAACCAGTTCATTGTTTGTAGCTGCATTTACCAAATACTAACGGTGATTTTTATGTGTAAGTGATATGAATTAAATAAATGAAACACAAGTTACAGTTATCATTATAATTAATGTTCTCATATGCTGTCTCATTCTACAAGCAGACAATTTTAACTCTGAACAGATAACCCAGATTACAGTACTGTATAAAAAATAAGTCAATGAATTAAAAAAAAAATAAAACATTTGCATAGACTGTATTAATTCAGAGTGGCACAACAATGGAGGTTGGTATAGGGTGTCAGTGTTCCTAAAGAGGAGAACTCAAAGAGCATTGGAAGTTCAGGATCATTTCACTGCAGGTATCTTCACAGAGGGGAAGATATTTTTCAGCACTGTGGCCCGGCGTTTGACAGAGTATCTCCTCATGAATGATTACATTGATACATCAGTGCATAACAGTGAGAAAATTGTAAGCTGCAGGGTTGCCTGGGCTTGTTCCACCTTGACTGGGTCAGCTAGGCAAGGTTGTCTGATGTTCAAAGTACCAAAACACCCAGTGACCCCAGGTAACATCACTGATGATGCATCCATGTGCATTAGAGTATGTATTTGTCAAACAAAATTAACAGACTTTAAATTATTATGATTACTTTAATGTTTTTCAAATGTGTCTTCTCTGTGGGAACATGCAAAATTGTTTTTTAAAATAAATTTATTTTCACAGCCTCAGTCAGGCTCCCCGCTTTAAAGATGTAGTTGTGAAAACAGCAGGGGTGTCTTCTGATATACAGTAATTTCAAGATGAAAAATTGAACACATTTGGTCTTTGACTCTGACTGTTTTTCAGAAACAAACTTGTTTATGGGATTAATGATGCAATTCGTTAAAATTTATTTTAAACACTGATGACTGCCTGAAGTGTATTTTTTACATTTCACTGTATTTAAATTAAAATCAGTGTGCATAAAATTTCCTGTTCAATAATTAACTCTCAAGGTCTTTCGCGAAAGCATTTTTCCACTAATCGTCTACTTTCTGAACTCCAGTGACAGCTGTAGCTTTGAGCACGCAGTCCGAGAGCCCTCCTCCTTTGGCGGCAGGCGGCTGAAGCAAACAGGTCGGGTTGCCACTTCAGTCAAGACCGGGGCCGTGTCGAGGCTGGAGTCCGCAGCATGTCCTCCCTGAGAGCCGCTAAACAGGCCCTGAGGGTCGATATAAAGAAGAGAATCGCTACGATAGATGACCAGGAAAAATGTCGGCAGTCTAAGATCGTCACTCAAATGGTAAGCGGGAAAAATAAACATGTTTAGGTGCTAATAAGTTTAACGTGTACTTGTGTTTTTAAACGCTCGTCTTTTATGTAAACGGAAACCAGGTTCTTGGGGTAGTGTCCCGCAATACTCCTCGAGATCTTTGCATATAAACACCTTGCCTGTAAAGTACAACAGAATAACAGATTTTTTTTTTAAAAAAGGCCTAGCAGCAGTTCTTATTGGTGCAATGCGAAGACGAGTCAGCTTCCTATTTTACAGGGGGCGTGTGGTGTTCTAGTAATACTGCATAGAAAAAGAACATTGCGGTGTATCTGACAGCAGTGTAATTTTATTAGTGTTTGACATACTCAAGTATATCAGAATGAATTACATTTATATATGATACAAGACAGAATAATGGATAATACAAGTTCGGCAATATTGTATACATTTAGCTTTTAGACTTTAATATAAAAACCACAGAGATACGGAGAGATTTGAACATGTGCTTGAAACATTAAGATCTTACAAAACATGAAATAACGACGGCGATCTCTCTTGATCTGCGAATATTAGGTCGTTTTAGAAATAATTCAATTTTATAGATCCGGAGTGTCCTCTAGTGGGAGAGAGATTTCTCAGAAATGATCTGGAAATGCACAGTCTACACACTGAGCTTGGAACTGTAGCAAATTCACAAAGTTGTTATGATGAAAATATTTTGGTAGCATTTGGATGACCTTTTCTTTTATTAAACAGAAATCTAAGCTCTAGATGCCAGCTCATCCTATAAATATTCCTAAATTTGACAGATAGAGCATTCATGGCACTCCTGTCACATTCTTTACTGTTAAGAGAACTGTTGATTCTCGCTGTAAGTTGAGGATGTGCATTGTCTTGCTGGAATGGTATCAGGTCAGGATGAGTTTGCATGAAGGGAAGCAAGTAAGAAGTCACCAATTAGTGTGTTGTTGTGCATGTGTGCCATCCATAAATCCACAAGATCCATAAAAATGGTGGGAAAATGAACCTAGTAATTATAGACCAATAAGCCTTAATTCTTGTGCATGTGAAGTTAAAGAAGCAATAATTAGAACAGAACCATCATGGCATTAGTGTATTTAAATGGATTTTAAAAAGGTGAGTCTTACTTAACTAACTTGTAACAGACCTTTGAACAAGCAATAGTTGTTATGGAATAAACCAAGCAAATGGCATGGTATATTTATATTCTAAGAAGGCATTTGGTTCCTTAAAATAGATTAATACCCAAAATGTAGTCAGCAGGCATTCAAGAAAGTACTTGTACTTGGATTAAGAAATTGTTAATGGTCATGAAACAGAATATAGATAAGGATTGATGACACAAACTGAGATAATGTAATGGCAGAATGCCACAGGGAGCTGTATATGGACCTCTGCTGTCCCTGATTCATATCAATGATCTAGATTCTGGTATAGTACGTTATCTAGTAATGTTTGTAGATCATACATAATAGGGTTAGCAAACACTGTAGAAGCTGCAAAGGGAATTCAAAGTGATTTATACAAAATTCAAGACTGTGCAAACATCTGGTAGATGACATTTAATGTAGATAAGTGCAGAGTGTTACAGGTAGAAAAAAACAATCTTCCAATCCCAAAGGAAATGCTGATCTTGAGAAAGCAAGTTATGAAAAACATTTAGGTATTATTTACACATTTATGTTTTCTAGCGTATGTTGGAAAGTAATAAAAAGGGCATGTAGTGATAAGATAAAAGTGTAAAATCCAAGTCAAGGGATGTGTAATGGAGCAGCTGTCTCCTCACTCTCTGAGTCAGTACTCCTTTGAGCTCTCTGGTGGATGGAGCCACTTCAGCTGTCAGTTCAGGCTCAAGGAACAAGGAAAGACAGAATGAGAAACCTTGTAGGCAGTAGGTTTTGGACCATGTTAGGGTGAAATTGTGACTTATAGCATTAGGGTTAGTCCAGTGTCAAAGTGTCTCTGGGTTTCCATTTAATTTTGGTGGTTATTTTGAGTAGGTCTTCCTATGCCTTCCTATGAGTATTGTGTACAGTACATCAAGTTTCAAAAACAATATTGCTACTCTGGAATGAGTCCAAATAATAGCAACCAGATACATTCTGTGGTTCAGAGAAATGTCTTACCCTGATATACAATAAAACAAGTATCTTTTTATTCTTGAACTGAGATCGTTACAAGGGATTGTAGTTATTTAATTAAACATTTATTATTCTCATCATTATTAACAGACTAAACCCACTGGACTTCCTCACAATTAAGAGTGAAATACAGCCCTAAGAATATGAATGGAAACTATGTGGAAGTACATGAAACCGAGAACTTGAGATGCTTCTTTACAAAAAGGGTGATAGGAGCCTGGAACAAGCTACCCAGCCTTGTTGTTGAAATTGATACCCTGGCATCTTTAAAGAAACTGCAGGATGCTATCAATTAGCTACTAGCAGCAAATAATCTAAATGGGTTGTATGGCCTCATGCTTGCAAGCTTTACATTTCTCATGCTAATTAATATACAAAATCTGTCTGGTTTATTCAAAAATATATATACTATAAATACTGGAATTACTTTTGAGGCTCGGTGTATATGAAATACGTTTTGAAAACCCTTAAGGGTGGGCAGATACTTTTGTGCAAATTCTGCAGAAGGAAACAACCAAACCAAGTAAATTGGAGAGATGCTTTGGAGAAAGCATTAGTTTCTTAGTTTTAGGTATAGTTTCGGAGAAAGAATTAGTTTCATGGTTAGTCTCGGAGAATTCTGTTGGAAGCCAAGAAGATTCCTAGCCTCTTGGCTGTGGATAATGGGGGACTTTTGAAGTCAGTAGCTCAAAGAAGAGCTTAGATTTTAGGTTACATTTTGGGTTTTGATTTTTTTGCACTATTTGTAAAATAGTACTTTCTCTTTATCTTAAGGCTACTTCGTGTGGCAGTTTTACCCTGACCAGCCTCATAATGTTCCTGTTTAGGAGACTGTGCTCCAGGGTGTGTCACAAGGAAATAACGTTTCTTCGAACCTTTTTCCAGCTCATTAAGCATCCTCAGTACCAGCGCTCCCAGAGGATTGCAGTGTTTCTCAGTATGCATGATGAGGTCCGCACTGAGGAGATCATTGAGGACATCTTCAGAAAAGAAAAAGTGTGCTTCATACCCAAGTACCAGTCGAAAAGTAACCACATGGATATGTTGAAGCTGACTGCTGCCCAGGACATCCAGGCTCTACCAGTCACCTCTTGGAACATCCGGCAGCCTGGAGATAATGAAGAGAGAGAGGAAGCGCTGGCCACAGGTCTGTATGTTCACTGGTCCCTTGGCATACAGTATACTGAGCATCAAAAGAGGTTGATCATGTAGAACCACAAAAAAATGACAATCTTTTTTTGTTGAAGGCACATTGAGATTTTCTTGAATAAACATGACCTTCATTATGTTAATTAAAATTAGTAAATAATGGAGTTGATCAATAGAGGGTGTAAAAGTCTTGGGCTAATAGGGTGTGGCCACTATTTGTAACAATATAACCTGTACAGGTAATAGACCCACTCTTGTGGAATTCTGTTTTATTCCTCTGGTAGAGCGTGCACATGCAAGAGTTTCTTCAGTGAGGTCCTGTACTTAATTCATGAAGCACCATGTGTTACAGTGAAGTAATAGGTTACAGGATAGAGTTCTCTTCAGCTTCTGGTCTTCTGCATTTACCCATTGAGGAAAAATAGTTTAAAAAGCATTGCAATATAATACCAAATATGAAAAAGATTTTTTAAATACGTTTTCAGTCTGATTTTCTGTCAATTCTAGTGTTTAAAAAAGTAAATTGTTACATTTAGACTTCTCTTAACACTTCATTTATACCTCCACACCATGTCTCTTATTCAAGACACACATCATAATTGAAAAGAAAGTAGAATGGTAAGCATCTAAGAATCTTAAGTATACTGTAGATCACAAGTATTCTGTTTCGACAGTAATAATCTCCTGTGCAATTTACTTTTTATAATTATATCCAAATCACTCAAATTTAGAAGTAAAACAACCATTGAGTATTAGATTCCAAATAATCAAAATGCCATACCAACTCTCAGTAGAGTAATCACTGCATTTAATTTGACTCAGGTGTAACATGTATTGAAATGACTTCTAACCTGTTAAATTAGAAAAAATAAAAACCAGTTTACAGCTGGCTGTCAGGTCTTCCTGACTTACTTCTGAGGGAAAATGTCATTCCATGATAGTTATATTTGACTCTGGTTTCCTCCCACAGTTCAAAGACATACTGCTGGGTAAATTGGCTTCTGGGAAAATTGTCCCTGGTGTGCATGTGTTTGTGTCTGCCCAGTGATGGACTAGAATCCCATCCAGGGTGTATCCTGCCTTGTACCCGTTACCTGCCAGGATGGGCTCAGGCTTCCCCCAGCCTTGTGCAGTACAGAGCGTTTGGACAATGGATGGCTGTTTCTTTGCATCACACATGTAGTCTGATTGCTGTCAATAACAAAGTGGAGGGTCGTTCCTTATGAAATCAGTCGCCTGTTGACCTCAATCGTTTGATTGAAAAGTTCCTTTAATATTAGCCCATGGGATAAATGGTAGACTGTGCATTGGGTTGTACTTACAAGACAATGAGGTCGAATTTGTAAATTCATTTTTTGTACTGTAGTCATATGTGCTAAAAAGTAAAGATGAAAAAAACTCATAAATGACTTGAGTTCTCTCCTGATGATGAACAGAGCAGTAAATGTATTATTCAAGTAATATAGCAATTTCATGTGGAAGATTGACCTGACACCATGTATTTAAATGTGTCCTGTGCCTCAGCCAACAAATAACCTAAATATGCAGCACAATACATAAACTATAATATATGTACAATTATTTTTTCCATAGGAATTATAAAAGTGTCTGACAGCCTGATTTATTAGCATTAAAACAATATCAAGGGTGGAGGGTCCAAAATAATTTAACTTTGAGCACCCCAGTTTCCTGAATGATTTCATTTAATTCATTTCTAGAAATCGCAGTGTAACCATTTCTCCCATGGGCAAACATGCAATGAATATTTGTGAAAAACAAAAGGGATGAGGTCAAAACTGGCCATTGTTTATAGATTTCATATGGGATGCCCGTAGAGTTATCAGTAGCAAATAGATATTCCTTTCCAGCCAAACACATTTGGATCTCTTTGTCTGGCTTTTTGTGTTCAACAGTTTAGCATATCATTATGCATGTTGCTGGCAGATATTATACTGCTGGCGAGTGCATGTAAGGTGTTGCTCCAGCACCCCAATGAATCTGTATCAGGTTACTTTGTTCTCATGACAAGTGGGGTATATTGGTTCCTTCCTGTGTTCTTCCTTGATTTTCACCAGGTGTTACATTCAACAGGGCAAATCACCTAATTACTTGTGTCCAACTCAACGCCCTTAGTAATGAGGTGATTAAGTGCTTAAGCAACAATCTAAGTCACTTCAATGCATCATGATCAATCAAAATGATGCAAAAAAAAACACTGATTCAGTATCTATATACACTTTATTTTCTAAAAGCATATACTGTATGAATGAGTGAAGAGACAATTTTCTATTGGTGTTCACTATGCCTGTGCTTCAGACAAAGACTATCTTTAAACAATTTACGTTTACACAGGAAGATAGGAAACAGTTGCAGAAGATCTAGACTAGTAATTACAGTATGATGTAGTGGAAGGTGAAAACTGCACATTGTGTGCTCAAATCTCTGTCCTCAGACTGAGAGGTTTAAATGCATCAACCTAAAGAAAAATTGTCTTACTGTAGTTATATATGTTTTAATTATATATAATAAATATATATATAAAATATATAAAGGAATTACTAGTAGTTTTCAGTTGATCTAATTGCCAGTAAGATATAGCTATTAAGCCTTATTCAGAACAGTTTTATGTTTGTTACAGAAAATTAATTGTTTGTGTTAGAATGCTTCCTAAACTGTACATGTATCAAAAATACCCAAGGTCAACAGCTAGAAGAGGTGGTGTTTCTTTGTAAGGATTAAATGTGCCATTTTTTTGTTTTTAGTTCTGTTATTTTAGTAAGGATTCCTGTGTCAGGTATATTTAAGTATCTGCAGCTCTCATGTATAAAGCTTTTGCAGGGATTAACTGAATTGGCAGCAAGCTATTTAACAATTTATTAGCAATTTCAGGTTCTCTAAAAAAATGTCTGTCACTGTAACCTGACATTTCTGTTTTAGACAGAATTTAATGAAGATGTATAGATTCTAGATAACTAATATTATTCTCCTTGTGCTCTGTAACCCCTGTAAACAATACCTACTAATATCATTATGTATGGATTAATATTAATACACCTTATTGTGAACAGCACTCATGCAGGTTCATGTCAGTTTTTATGCTTTTAAACACCTTCCAGCAGAGGGTGCTAAAACACTGTAGAATCAAGCCCTTGACCAAATGCAGTCAATTTTATACAGTAACTATTATTGTTGAATACATTTTTCATTGCTGTCTTCACAGTCTAAGTATGCATAAATTATTTTATTTGACAAATTCAAGTGTAGATTCATAGTGTCAATATGTATTACAGTTACTCTTTTAAATATCTCAAATAGCTACTTTTTGTGTAATATTAAAGATATGTAGGGGTATTCCTCTACATATCATAAATACAAATATTCCTCCTGGAAAATACAATAATTTAAAAGTATAAGTGAAGCACAATTGACACTTTTTTTCTGTAAAATGCACTATTGTATGATAAAATCCCACTGGCCTGAACAGGAGGGCAGTGTTACAGGGAGTCATAATCCTTCAGAATTGTGAATAAATTATTTTGAGGTCAACCATGCCACCTGCTGTGTTTTATAAGGAAAAGAGCACGACCTGAAACCAGGTAAAAACTAGAACCTGTTCAAGATCTTCTGGGTTTATCTAAAGCTAAGGTGGTCTGCAGTGTTTAGACTTCCTCTAATCTGTCTTTTTCATATTTCTGACATTTCATAACCTCTTAATCTGTGAAGGTGTGGACTGAGATTGAAAAGCCTTTCCCATCCATCAGTTTTGTCCATTGCCTGAGAGGTGATTTTAACTCCAAATTTCTGATCTCTGCTAACATGTTGGAGAAGGAACTCTGGTAGATCAGTTGCTTGCTTAGTTCTTCTGATGCACTTTTGGTTCTGCTGCTAATGGCATTCATTGCCCTCTCCCTTAGTCCTTCAGGAAACCTGCACTCATTCTTTGTAGTACACCTTGCTGTCTGTGTTTTTAAGTTGTTTTGGTGACATGATAGTGGCATGATGGTAACTCTTGGCAGCAGCACAAGCAAGAAACTGAATACTGTGCAGTGTCCAAAGAGGTAAATTGGCAGAACAGAGCTATAGTAATACTTTCAAGAGCTTGTCTGCCAAATGATCAGAGAGATGTTTTAAATCATTTCAGATGACATAATTTGTCTTTTATTATTTTTCTAGCATTTTATTTATCTCCAATGGTTAATCAGCATGGCTTACATTGTGACACTTTGCACCAAAATGGGGGGGAAATAAACACCAAGTGCTTTTATAATATAAATATCTGATTTTACACATAATGTGCTCCATGCTGTCATCGAAGAGAGATAGCACTGATTACATCGATAGCCCTGTGTCAGATTGAAGTCCTTCCAGTCCTAGTGGTGCCTAGCCAATTGGGGGGAACATTGGAGTTTATTGGTTAATGATGAAGCCCAGCTTCAAACTGATGACGTCTGGACTATGGGACTCGTAACTGGTCACCTTCGTACACTTCAGGGGCTGAACAAAGAACTGTGTTTAACTATTGTGGCGGTGTTGTTAAAACGATGCACACTAAGCTGAAGAAAGAAAAAATGCATAGCCCTGCAACGCACTATCCTTGCCCAAAACCCTAAACCATATTGAAAAATAACCTCTGATCAGTTGGTATTCACTTTATCAGCTTTCTTTTCCTGGTCTGTTTCAAATGATAGGAACTGATAGAGATGATCTGGCACTCACACAGCTGCATCGCCAGTCAGATGAAATGCTCCTCTCTCTGTGCATTTTTTTTCCAAGGGAATAAATACATGACATTAATGGATGCCCTTATAATTTGTGTTGTTTTTTTCTTAGTTGAAACAAAATCTCTCTATATTTTCTCATCAAAAATTCCTTTTCCTCTATTCTTCTCTCAAGTCCCCAAATCATCATCTCAGTTGAAAATTGAAGGCAGAATTATTAGCTGCTTCCCTTCAAAAGGAACATAAGGGCAGGCATGGCAGAGAAGTGCGATGTGAATGGAGGCAGCTGAGGCAGGTCTTTGGGGACGGGGGGCAGTGGTTCAGACTGCAACTGAAGATAGCTTGATCTGCTGCAGATGATGCTCTCCCCTGACTCTGGGTGCCCCTGCTCTTCAATTCACCTGAACCCGCATCCTGAGCTCCACAGATCCTTTGATGACCTATAATTAAAAAATGATAGACCGACAACAGTGCCATCACACATTTTGGCAGCAACTAGACTAGCAACCCAGAAGACTTGTTTTCTCTGATAACACCTTCTCCTACAAAGCATGTCTGTTTTTAGCATCTCCAAATTGGATTTTGTTTAATAAAGATAAACATCTTCTTACCTGATTGTGCTTAAACTAGTCCTCCTTGTTAACCAGGAGACATCTTAGTGAAATGATTAATATAGAGTGTTTTCCTTTAAAAAGAGATAAAGATGTGTTGCCTGGGTGCTAAAACGGAAAAGGTCAGGAATGATTTGTGGTGTACTGAGGAATATTTTACACTGACACAAGGCAGTAACATGGATGAATAGGCTGCTAAATGCTGAGCTGTTCATTGCTTGCCAGTGGGTGTTGCTGATGAGGGTATGTAAAGCACAACATCATTAAGTCTTGCAATAACAAAACGTAGTGCACACTCATCGATAAAGGTCAATTGAAATGCATCTCAAGATTCAGCTCAGAAATATGTAGGCTCAATTAAACACATCTCATCTTAATAAAATAATTTAAAAATGTTTGCTAATGAACTAAAATATTTTTATTCTAATCAACCCATTTAACAATTCTAGAGCCCAGTAAAATGTATGTATAAGAAAGCTCAGTAGTTGTCATATAAATCAATTCTTACATATCATAGCTGATGTTTGACACAGCATCATGTTTTAGTACTTATTGTAATTAATATAAATTTGACAATTCCTAATTATTCTGAAATGACTAATTTAGAGTTTTGAGAAAGAGGAATACATTCTAAATTTAATGTTGCCTGAATTTGTAGAAATGTGTGTTAAATGTGTCCTTTACTGGTGTTCATGTAGGCTTTTGTTTAAAAAAAAATCACTTGGATTTGATTGTAAGGAGATATTTGATGTTACAAAAGGGCACAGAACATTCAAACAGGATGACTCTTGCAAGGTTTACATTTCCTACACAGCTAAATTTTACATTTCCTACACAGCTAAATTAATTGAAAGGTTAATTTAAAAAATAAGATTTTCTACTTTAAATTCAGACCTACAAGATGAGCTTTAAAGTAAGCATCAATGGCCTTTGGCCACCTGGTGGGAGAAAATACTTTCTACAGATTCCAGCTCGGGTTACTTGGTGGAGCTGTCCTGCTGTGCCTGTGAACAGAGATATGTAGACATTTTCTTCGAAGAGGAATGAAAAAGTCAAATTGAGAGGCATTAATAGGGGAAAATTGCCTTCAGAAAATGTACATTTTAAGAGTAAAAGCTTAAACAGAAAAAATAGGAAGAGAAAACAGCTTGCATATAGTAAAGGCTATAATGCCTCACAAAAGTGCTTGGCCTCAAAAGAAATGGAAATGAAAATGTCAGAAAATATCATGCAAATGTAGAAAAATCCACAAATTATTATTCCAGAAAGAGTATTTTTTATGATTTTCTGATCTTATAACTGTACTGTACAATTTGAGAATATTAAAATTTATAAATGTAATGCACCACTATTTTTTCTGACAACACAACCACTGCTCATCGTTGAGTATGTTCTAGTAGCAAAAAGCTGAAGCAGATACTGAAGTTTGTTTTCTCTTGAGGGCCCTGTGCTGAGAAACCCGGAAGAATATTATTATTTATTTTCCTTGAAGTGAAATAAAGCTTTAGACTCTGTGTCACAGTGCTCCAGTTAAGTACATACAGCCCTTGTTTATATTTGCATCCTTCAATTTACTGATTTTCCTAAGAAAGACTAAGGTTCACTTAAGGATAAATTCTTAGTTGTACAAGTAAAGCTGAAGAAAAAGCTGGAGATTTGGGTTTAAATGTGCTTAAAACTGGTCAATGGTTCATTTATCTTGTCACCCTGTCACAGATTGACGTATTAGACAATGTCAAACCCTTTAAGAGACCAGGAGCACTGAATTATAAATGTCCAGCAGAAAATGAAAAGAGACAGATAGCACTAAATCATTAGCTTTCCTAACCATGAGATTGTATGTGTCGGAATGAATTGTTTATTTATTGCTCTCAGGAGTGAATATTGAGTGAGTGCTGATTTTCACTGGTTTTCTAAATTCAGGTGTGACATTACTTTCGAGTGCTTTGCCATCAGAGCATTGTGTGTGTAGAAGCTTGATGCTACAGTAGCTTTGAGAATGCATTTTTGCAGTGGACACATGTTAAATGTAAACATCACTGGTGATGTCTCCACAAAGAAAAAATATCTGCATGGAGATTGTGCTAGTCGCTTCTGCTATCAGTACTCATGAGTAAACCGTCAGTACATTTTACAGGTATGAATGCATGCACAATAATAATCGGGGAATATGTAAGGTTTTTGGCTGACTGCCTAATTTACATGACAAATACATAACGTTCCTTTCTAGTCTTCTAAATAATTTAATCATTTCAAATGAGTGTTTATGAGACTGCTAAAATATTAAACATCTCTTGCAATGAGAGAGGACCGAGAGGGGCTCTGTGGAGAAGGCGAAAGGATGGCCGCAGACTTGTGCCTTTCTCCTAACTCATTAAAATCCAGTTCTCCCTTTCAAACATGGTGAAAAGTAATAACCGTTGGTGACATTTCAGCCTGCTTTTTAATTGCAGTACTGTTATCAGACTATTGAAGCTGTACCTGAATGGTCTGCCCTGGGGCTTCATTCACAGTTGGCGTGCACCTGTTATAATCTAAACTGGAACATGTAAATGAGACCTATGAAAGAATATCATATCAGTAATCTATGTTTAATCATTTTTTTATGATTTATTGGGGAAAGATCACACGTTTTGTACAGATTTATTTGAGGTAGTTGTCAGGTCATTCAGCTGGGGTGAGTTTGGGTCTCGGGTGAATACATCTGCTGTAACACCCCTGAACAAAGTACTGTACTCAACTCAGACTTAAGAACTACCCACTGTGAGAACTGGCACCCAAAGCATGCGTGCAAAAAAAAATTGGAAACTCCAAATTGCTTTGAATTAAATTGTCAGCCGAATAAATTGATACAGTATCTTCATCACTGGGCAAGAAGTCTGATGAGCAGCAGAATAAAAAATCTGTTAATGTTTCCAGTTTAAAAGCTTAGAGAAAGCTTTGAAAAGTGTTTAAGGTACTTATTTCTCATACAGCAGATTCACCCAAAAAGGATGTTTAGCTGCTTATTTTGAATGCAGTCTGTTCTTTATGTTTTTAAGCAACTGATACACCACAGTGGCCCTATAATACAAAAAGATAAATGTATACTGTAAGAACTCCAACAAAGGATGGATGCTGAAGTTTATGGTCTTTTTTTCCCCTCACACATCTTCATTAATGAGTGATAGAAATATTTATATACAAATGTCTTAACAGGATCAGAAGGATTTTCCTACAATATTAAAGTGATGGTAACAACTGGGAATCTTTCTGAAGTGTTAGATTTCCCCACAAAGTGCATGCAAACCATATTGCTCCTGCCTTGAAAGTATAGCGTGTAATCAGTGCCAAGGATTCCCATCTTCTGACCTTCCCATCAGAACTTGGAAAGAGTGAAAATATTGTATCTCAATAGGTCAGATGATTTGTTTTGCAAAAAAGGAAAAAAAAATTAGCAAGCTGCCTTCCACAATCCTTGCTTATACTGTATATTGCGTCATCTCTTTCCATTTGAATGCACTGAGTCTTTCAAGAAACAATTTGGTTTTAGTGCTGCAGTAATTAAACTAGAGTTAAATGAAACGGCAGGTGAGCTCAGAGGTTTATGTGTAAAAGTGGATTAGAAGGTCAGGCGCTGATTTGTGCCCAGACGCCCATTTTCACTAGCAGGATCTCTGGACCCACACTTCATGCAGCAAGAAACTTTTCACATCGCTTCTCCCTCTTTGGTCTTACACAGGTGGGCTGGACTTAATCCTGATGCCTGGGCTGGGGTTTGACCGCAGTGGGAACCGGCTGGGCCGTGGTAAGGGATACTACGACACCTACCTGCAGCGCTGCATGCAGTACCCTAAGGGCAAGCCCTACACGATTGGGCTGGCCTTCAAAGAGCAGGTCTGCACGGCGGTCCCAGTAGATGAAAACGACATACGGATCGATGAAATCCTGTTTGAGGACAAATGAGCTGCTTAGTGGAAAGAATCGAGCTCTGCTCTGTGGTCTATTATGCTCATTTCAGATGGGGAATTATCTACTGGTGAAAGTGCCTTTTCCAGTTTAATTTAATTAAAAATCTAATCAAGATTACAAAACACGGCAGAGACCTATAGATTTTGAAAACTTGAGCTCAGAAAGGTGACTGAGGGAAAATGTTTTTGACTGAAAAATGGCTATCTTTGCTGATAAAATGCCTAGGTTGTGAAAAACACGTTCTCTAAAAGATACCTACATTTTTGTAATGGTATCTGTCATTATTACTTTACACACAACTCAGGTATAAAGGTTTGTAAAGATTTACTGTAATAAAATCACAGCAGTTCATACTGTAGCTCACAGTGGCAGTGGTTTGGGTGTGATTTTTTGTATTCAGTGCTCACAGAATGGCCACGCTAGCAATGCACGCTTTATCCAATGGTAAATTTGATAATAATAATAATAATAATAATAATAATAATAATAATAATAATTGCTTACATTTATATAGCGCTTTTCTGGACACTCCACTGAAAGCGCTTTACAGATAATGGGGACTCTCCTCCACCACCATCAATGTGCAGCCCCGGATGATGCGACGGCAGCCATAGTGCGCCAGAACGCTCACCACACATCAGCTATCAGTGGGGAGGAGAGCAGAGTAATGAAGCCAATTCATAAATGGGGAATATTAGGAAGCCATAAATAGTAAGGGCCAATAGGAAATTTGGCAAGGACGCCGGGGTTACACCCCTACTTTTTTCGAGAAACGCCCTGGGATAACTATCTCTCACATCCTTTCTGTTGCTCTCTTTTATCTTTTGTTTCATTTCTCTGTGTGTGGGCCAGCCTTGTACTGTTTTCCCCAAGGAGACCTGGTCACTAAACGCTATGCATGGTTTGGAGAACAGGAGAGCCACTAATATCTAAACTGTCCTCCTCCTGTAGGAGATCTGAATGCTTCATTTGATTATTATCCTTAAATTTAATTATGCAAATATCAGTTCAGTTTCATATTTTAAATTTACAGTTGAGAGTACTTTTTAAAAAAGAGAGCAATGTAAAATGGTTTTCAAAAAATTATTTTTTGAAATGGAGAATAAGACTTGATACATAGCCTAGTGAAATATGCTTTAGACAAATGTTTCAAATTATCATTTTAATAGTTTTTTGGTTAAATTAAAGACTATTTCTTCACATGTACTTTGAATATTTTCAAGTTATGAATACAAATTCTATGGTTTAAAAACATTGTTACTAATTATGTAATTATGCAATATTAAAGGTTAGTTCTACAAACATATTTCACTTTTAAGATTGTTTAAAAAGCAGAGTCGGAGTGTTCACAAAAAGGTCTTTAGCCCAGACTGACAAAAAGTGTAGGAAGCATTCTGTGGATGAAAATTGTTTTATGTGAGAATTAAATGTCCTTTTGATGCCTGTATATTCAACTGAAATTCTAGTAGAAAATGTGACTAACGCCAATTGTGCTAAATAATTGAAGTGTATGATTGGGCTCATCCCCCTAAGATAGATACCTAACCACTGCACATACCTTCTTAATTACACAGTTGTAGCATCCCCTAGAGTCAATATTTCCTGACCCCTGGAGACTGACTAAGTGTGGGGAATATCATTAACATTTTTCACACTATAACAGATACAACCTAAGGCAGAAGAAATCTGCTCTAGAATACTTTGATGAGAAGCTTGTTCAGAATCTCTATTCTAAATCTTTTCCATATGACAACATATGTGATATTACTTGCTATTAGCTATAAGTATATGATTGTTATTATTATTGCATTTTGATATTGTTTCCATATAAATGATGGTTAAGGAGGGATCACACACTTGAGGTATTTACTGTAATTGTATCAAGACTTAGATATAGATGAAGTGTTGCAATACTATTGAGGCCAAAAGTGAAAGAGCAATAATAACAAAAACAGTTTAAAAATCACAATAAAGGTTTTAATTAAAGCTGTCTGCTTTATTATTGGTTAATCATTATATTTATGGCATTACAATGCTCAATTTATAAGTTTTCAATAAAAACTAATTGTTAGTGGACCCTTCATTATTCTCCCACGTTTCTATTAGTGTTAAAAATATCCTTGTTGTGACAGTTGCTTTATGTCGGATATGCATAATGCAGGCATGGACCAAAGCCAACTTCATTGCTTGCCTCCTTCTTTGCAACCTGAGTCACTGTAAAGGAAAATGTTTTTTCTTCTGTGCAGTGCTACTGAAGTGTTTCTACCATGTTACGCTAACATCTTTTTTTTATTGCATATACTGTATATGTGCCTGTCCTATTTTCTGCTTGCATTTAAAAGGGGCTGTTCAGTTCTCATTTGTAGCCAGAGGAAAGTATCACCAAAATAGGAATAATAAAATGCTTCATAACATTTATTAGCAGTGAGGTTCTTTTTCTCCCTGGCTGTATCTCCTAGAGAGTTAAGCTTCCTGTTTAATCAAACACAGTGGGGACCTGGAAATGATTAATAAAAAAGCCTGGCTAGGTTCCAGCTATCAGCAAGAGAGCTCATTATGAGAAATTAATATACTGGAGCAAGGGACGATGGCAGATAAGTTCACAATATGAGTGCTCTGGGTACACTAGTGCTGACAGCTTAGGAATGGACTTAGGAATGGAGGTATCATCTGTACATGTCATGTCAACAGAAACAATTAAAGATTTCACAATGTACTGAACTGTGGCTTCCATTTCTGTCCTCCACAGCACATTCACTGGCAACCTCAGTGAGAGAGCATGTGACAGACTATTATTATGCAATTGCTGCATTTTTCTCCATATCTGTCCTTCACAGAAACCCAGATGAACAAAAGCCATGAATGTACTGTGGCTGTACTGGAATTAAAACTGTGTTTTTGTGAAGCGTCCAGAAAACATATTGTGTTAAAGCTGTTGAGTATCCCTAAGGGGGACAGGAAGATGCACCCAGAGGAGAAGATTCACATAGCAACATAAGAAAGGTTACAGATTAGAGGAAGCCATTTATCATCAGGCTTGAAAGAAGCCAGTGTATCAGCTCTGACAACCCGGCAAGGTAGCTTGTTCCAGACCTCCACACCCTTTTGTGTAAAGAAGTGCCTCATGTTCTCGGTTTTAAATGCACTACCTCTTACAGCGTTTTTTTTTTTACAGTATTCCACATGACTTTGTTTACCCTACTGATTTTTCCCCTGTGTTTCACAACAGTGAAGCTCTCATTAATACTGTATGAGAATCAAATGGGAAATAGCTGATACGTACCAAAGTGCTGGAGGATAATGGGCTTCATGTGCAATTTTCATAACAGGAATATTAAGAGAATATTGCTGCTATGTGTCATCATTTAAAAATACATCAAACAAGAATGCTTTTCAAGGCAGAGATATGGAAAGACCTTTATAGATCAGGACAGAAGAGGTTCAGAAAAAGCAAATTTATATTGCACATACCAGTAAGTAAGAGAATCTTTGACACATCTCAACTCCCTCAACTGTCTAAATCAGTGACATTAGGCATGACACAGAGTTGTTTGTTTCTTTGTGAGTACATAAAAATAATAATATTGTTCAGATGGCTGCTTAACAAACTGTACCTTGAATTAATCCAGGTTCCCTCATTCTTTTTCAACAATTCAAACTCAAACCCATAAAAATATAATTAACAGCTGTAATAATAGTTACTTTGTGGTAGTTACCTTTTAAACCAGAGGCTAATTAGGAATTATAATGCATGCATGAACTACATTTTTTCAAGACCAATTTGCCCACTAAAGAGGATGGCCTACTAAATTCTTTTTGGGTAATTCCCTCAGCAACTGAATAATGTTCTAGAGCTGTAAGCACACTCTAAATATACTGAATAGGGAAAGCATCATAATATACTGTAAGAGGACTGAATAATAGTGCTAATAACTGGGCTTCCAAGGGGGACAATGCTGCTAAAACTACATGATGATGGTGAAAATATACAGCACTTCAAACATCATGGAAATAGTGTGTGAGACGTGTCTATTAAGTAACAATGACTTGTCATTTAACAGAAAAGCTCATAGTTACTTCCGGTTGGAGACCTTTCTCCCACATTACTTTTTACAGGATGGATTGAGTGCTGAAAATAGCGAAACATAAAAAATACAGTTAAAACTTAAAGATGTTCTACGATGATAATTAAATGCACCAATCAAGTTGATGAGAAGCCAACAGAGTATGGTACTCTTGTGTACCAAAGAACTTGTGCAACATTGCAAAATCTTTGTTATATTAAATTATGCTCTATAGTTATTATCTCATTCAAGTTCTTATAAACATGTACATTTAATTTAATTTATATTTTTTAGCTGGGTGTTGTATATGCTTCTACCATTTCGTTCATATTATATTTCCTGAGCATTCAATGATAGTTAAGATTCATTTTGTTCATTAAGCTTCAGTTCCTGCAATTTACATAGAACCTGAGTATACTGTATGTATTAATGTTACTTGGCAACTGCAGTCTTTGAACTGAATTAGCTGAAAATGGACTGTAGGTTACTGAAACTATTTACCCCACAATGCTACTGCATAAGGGGATGGCTTTGAAGGACTTCTTACAAATATGAAATATTCATTCTGTATCCGGCACCTCAGAGGTTACAAATGAATCCTGCATACTAACATCAGCCCATGACAGCATGGTACTGATTGTCAGCACTGCAGTGGTATAGGAGAGCTGGCATAGCACTTAGTGTGTGGCCTTTCACAGGAATGCTTACTCATGTGTGTTTCCAGTCCAGGGTTCCATAAGCACACAAAAAATATTTGGAAGTGACCTCTGGCCTATAATTTTTTTCAGGGGCTGGAACTGCAACTCTTACATAAGAATTTGAAAAAAAATCTACAGGATAATGAGAAAGTAAATGCAATTCCTACCCCTTCTGCAGGAGACATCCGAGAAATTGTAAAGACCTTTGCTGCCTCATTTTTCTGAAGTACAAAAGCAGCGAAAAATAAAATAAAATGAATGCAGGCAGGAGGTCAGAGCAGTAGAAATGCAGTGATCCGTTCACCACCAGTGTGTGATGGCTGCTTTACGAAAGCTGGAGATTAGAAAACAAGAAACCCAGCTGCAGTAATTTCTTTCCTGCATTATGTTAACCTCTCTCCAGTGTGCATCTTTGTTCTCAGAATTTGGGCTGCAGGAAAAATTGGATTTCACTTTTTTTTAATCTTTCTTCCTTTCTCAGCTTTAATAACAAGCAAAACTATCTCCCAAGATTAGTTCTTTCTGGTGGTAGAATGTATATAGTCATTTCTTGTGTTGGTATGTTGATTTTTCATCTCAAGTTGCTTAACAAACAGTGCTTTGCCA